TTGTCCTAGTCCCCTCAGTACAGGAGGCACATAACAACATGTGTGTAGAGCTTTGGCGGTTCATCTGACGTGTTGTCTTCCTACTATCTTTCCAAACGTTTGACAAAGCGATAATTGCAATTTGAAAAAAAACAACCTGAAAATATACATTTTATAGTAGGGCTTCTATGGTGACTTCCTTAGGCCCTCTCAGAAATACTAAAATATAAAAACCTAATAACACATAAAATATCAATCCTACTTGGATTTTCTTAAAAAGCACATCTGTGTTAATGTGGCAACGCCTTAGAAAGCCGGGAAATAAATTCAATTCGCCATTGTACACCAGGAACAACGAGTGTCTGTGAACCGCTTAGCTTGAAGGAATCAGACGTGGCGACATCGATATGGGTCGGAGCTTAAGCGGTTCACGTTCCGAATAGTCTCCTTCGTGTGAACGTAATCAAACAATGAGTGAAACACTTGCAGTGAGCTTGATGCAATGATAAGTACGCATCAAAGAACATGAATGTAAAGCTTTATCAGAGGGACAGAGTGAACGAAGTTGCGTTCCTTTGGGTGCAATGCATGAACCCGAACGACTGCCTCGAGTTCTCTGTGTAGCTCGAATCCGTGCATGGCTCAAGTGAAGTTTTCTCGAGACAGCTGGCCGTATCTACCCCTAGATTTCTTGACCTCATGCCACTGAGAGTGCTATCTCCAGCCTATTTACATATGTATACATGTGTATGAAATCGGTGGGCTGGTGTTCCTGCCTCCTTTCTGAGCTTAGTGCAGCAAACAGAGCCGGTTTATACAATGTGGCTCTTTGTGAGAAAGCTGATTGTTGCCAAAATAAACCTTGAACCGAACAGGGAAAGAAGTGACGTGAACGTATTAAGCTACGTCAGAGATGGTGAAAGGAGTTTAACTCGTACTTACGAAATCAACAATGCTAATACATAGATGTGCAATGTTCGTTCGAAATCAATCGATTACCTAACCTTTTGAAACTGTTGTAAAACCAGCCGCCTGCTCCAGAAGAAAATCATTGTAGATTATATCCAGTGGCTATCACAGGGACTCAAGGATGAAAGCAAAGGATTACTATACACGATTAGTTATTTACTAGTGCATTCTGTCAGCCAAACTGTATTGGCACGCGATCGTTCCACCCCAACTAAATGCGGCTGTCGTCCTTGCCGTTGTTACATTTGCTTCGTATTTTATATGTGACCGATGCAGTGTCTGAGGCAGGTGTTTAAACTATCAGTGGTTCCCGTCTTTTCATCATTCGTTTTCGTCGTGTTTCGCATTAACCCGTGGCAAAACCTTCTATTGTTACATCTACGGTGATATTAGTCAATGACAACGGCCACGTTGAGATAAAACTGACTAAATAAAACAACTGTACATTTACAGAAATACCGTACACAACAAAACATCTTTCGCTGCGGATTCTTGTGTAGGTCGAGGTTGCTCACAACCTAAAATTTTTAACCAAGACCTCAATAGAAGACTCGCGTCTGGAAACATTCTTAGAATTAATTGAATCTATAGCCCTGTTAAGTTACGGATTTTAAGCACCTAATGAGATATATGACCCGCTGTTCTAATGATGGTCAATCATGCTTTTTGGCTTGGCGTGAAGTCACAGATGTCTAACATCTTTTATTAGCAGTCCTTTTTTTTTAGAGTATCTTGAAAAGTTAGGCTCGGGAGATCTGCTTACTAGAGCAGGCGTGTCAACTAACTCGTATACTTTTTATGTACACAAAAGGCGTGTGGCACCCGTAAGGGATCTACTTAAGAAATGCCCAATACTCAATATGGTTTAGTTACCATCAATGTGGCCAGTAATTGACCGTATGAGAATTTCGACAGCTGAATTTGTCTACGTTCTTGCGTGATAAATAAATCAACCAATCGCATTGTGATTGCGTTATTTTAGTATATTTTAGGATGATGTAGCACTCGGGAATTGGTTGTATGCATCACATTGCCCTAAGCTCCTATGCCGCTGCTAGCAAGAGGCTTTATATATTCAAATAAAAATACAAAAAGCGTGTAACTAAATTAAGCAACTATACGCGGTGGTTAAATAAACTGTTTGAAGCTTTAAAATTAATTTTCGAATGCTAAAGCGAGATATTTTGAATGGTTTTTGATTTACGAAAGCGCCATTACTCTACTACACCACTGGTACGTCATATGTCGATCGAGAAATCGGCAGACGTTTTTAAAGTAATGGTAAACGATGTGATAATAAGTAGAATTCCTTGCCCTCCTGGTAGCTTAGTGGGTAACGTGTCTGCGTGCAAATCTTAGGGACACGTTGTGGTCTAGGTTCGAATCCGCCCCTAGGCGGAGTTCGTTTCACGGTGGGAGAAGAGCCCCAACCATGGAGGTGTAAAAGTGACATATTCAACGACCGGAGGCGTACTAGCGTGCTGTAACCGGATTTCAGTGAGAGTCCAGCATTCACGTTTCGTGTTAATGCTTTGTTCACGTACCGTCGGCGCGTTGCATTCGGTCGTCTAGAGCGAATGTAGTCGACGTGCAACAAATAAGTGGTCGTGTTTAAATCAGCCTGACTGATTAGGCTGGTTTCTGGTAATTCTGCGTGTTTCCATACGTAAAGTGGGAATGGGAAGTGGAAATGATGTGACTGAGCTGTAGAAAATACACATTAACTAACCCCTTCCTCAAAACAAATGTACATGACGCTAAAATATTTACTTTTTACCAGCATCCAGTCGCCAACGTTGCTAACAAATCGAAAGAAAACCTCCCGTTGTCGCCCAGCAAAATCGATAACAGGATTCAGAAAAGGTGTACTAAGAAGCGGGAGGACCGTGTAATTATTTACGAGTTTAGAATGATAGGTTCCGCTCGTACACTGTCCTCCAGAGCAGATTAAAAGACCATGGACTCGCTGTGTCCAAAATGACACGTTGCCAGCGACGTAAAGGCCAGGCTTAAAAGCAGCAGGCCTATTTCCACTAAGCAAACTAGATCATAAACGGGATTGTTGAAAATGGAGAAAAGTCGCTTTCGCAGACAAATCTCATTTTGAAATCTCTGAAAAAGGCCCAGCATGCCTCGACGAACGATTTTCCGAAAGTTGCGCCGTGCCCAAAACTAACATCCATCAAAAGCTGTAATGTAGTCTATGGTTTCTGGCAGACCCATTGGAATGATACCTTTCGCACAGTGAATACTTATCGAGAGCAAAATTCTGGCGGTGACTTTGTCTTCATTTACGATGTGGCGTCTTCTCACAGAGCTTGGAATATCCTCAGGTTGCTCGCTGCCAAGGACGTTCAGGTACTGCCATGACTGATTCGACAGACTTCAATCCCATAATCACCTCGAAATTCGTAAAATCACGGGTTTGGGAAAGACAGCAAGTAACAAACGTCCTAGATCTTCCTGGAAGAGTCACTAATATGTAGCAAAGCCTCCACTCGTTGCTGAGACAACAAAAAAGTATCAGAGACCTTAGTAATCAGAGACATGCTTCAAAACGTAGCGAAAGTTATAAATACAAGAGGCGATATCACAATATACGTCAAAATATCACATCATTTATTAGCATTTGGAAAAGTTCCGCCGACTTCTTCATCGACATGTAACATAGCAGTGTAAAGTAGAATAACATCGTTTTCATTGGTCGAAAATTGCTTAAAGATGTCTCGCTTTAATGCTCTTCAATAAAGCTCGAAAGCTGAGCTATTTGATGAAGCACCGACTGTACAACTAAAAATAAAAACGCCTTGATAAATGCTACTGTTGACATTAGTCGCGTTAAATAAATTTCCTACGCAACGCGTATTTCCTATTCAACTATTGGCTGCGTAACTCAATGCCTGATCCAACGGGTCTGGAGTAAAGCGTCAGATGTGATGCTTTGATAAACCTTATTTACTTTTATGTATATACGCAATAATTCGTTATCTCCTTAGGAAGGCAATACATTGGCATTTCACAGCAATTAATGGTTGAAGTTTTCAACTTCGAACTAGCAGAAAGGACACTCAAGTTGCTAAATGGTATATATAATACGTTTCAGAATTTTTATTTGCTCTCTCCTGTTCATATAGGGTAGCAAGAACCCCATTGATTAGTTCACCTCCTCACTGGTCATCCTAGGCTCTACCGGTGTGACGGGTGGCAGTTTTTAACGACAAATGTTCTTCCAACTTTACATATGTATAGTTTAGAGGGAAGTGTGTATAAAGTGATGAAAGGAAGAGCAGTGCGCAATAATCGTGGTGGCGATCAACTTCTTAGTAGCGGGATGCTTCTGTTTACGCAAAGAAGACAACCGCCCGTTTGTACGCCGCGTTATGCGTGCCTGCATATCGTTGGGTGTATGCTCTATGCTTTGAGTACTGAAACTCGTTATACAGCGATCTGCTACCTAATAACACTTCCTCTATCCGAATATAGGAAAGGCCAATTCAAATTAATACCACGCGTGGAAGATACCCTTTTAATATTAATACTAGCCAGAGAGGAACAAGTGGTGGCGGACGCAAGGAATGCTGCAGAGCAACAACGGGGGAAGCTTCAACGACATTTTTTCATGTCCGGCAGTTAAGCTATACGACATTGTTTTAGACGGATCTTCTCGGACGTATCTAATTTTTGCCTCAAAGACCTACGAAGCGAAACGGTGACCACTTCCCAACGCTGAGATTTGAACTAGTGATGGCTGCATATTTACGCCCACCATGGCAACGCAGTGCGAAGGATGTACTGATTCTACTCGATGATAGTATCAAGCGCAACTATCGGTATATAGAAGGGTCAAATCGAATAAAAAGTTTTTCCTTTGTCGCGGTTGTTATTTACTTTGACAAAAGCGGATCCGTAAATATGAGGCAGGGTCCCCCCTTTTTAGTACAATAAGATGTTGTTATTATTTTCGCTAACATTATTATGTGGTAGAACGAATTTGTCTCGCTCGTGAAATGCGGCAATACTGAACGCATCCTTTTGCTTTGATATTTTTGCAGGGTCGCTAAATAGTTCACACCTACCTGACTGAAACAGTTCTTGAAAAATGTCACCTACAATAACGATTTCCAACGTCCTCACCGTGGGTATTGCCCCTTTACTGCTGCTGTTGACAACGGTAGAGCGTATCGAGGTGCAAGCACAGGTACCGCATCCTCCAATGATGATTAAGCAGCCCGACCACGAACAGCTGTTTCAGGTAGCCCAAAGCCAGGACGAAACCGATAAACCTTTCGTGCTGGAATGCGAAGCCGAGGGAACACCGGAACCAGAGTAAGTCATATAATTTATACACTATTTAAAAATATCTTCCCAGAATTAAATCGGCATCCTCACTTTAGTTTTTTGAAAGACATATGTAATGAAGACTAAGCTACTTATACAGTAAAACCGCTTTAATATAATTGGGAGTCGTCTGGTCCAGATGGTGCACCAACTATTCTAGCTATCGATACGTACGGTATACTTAAGATACTGACTAATTGAGTCTAGAATCTTGAGAGTGGTAAAAAAATGAGGTCGTTAATTCACGCAGATAAATCTTTCGCCATTTGTTTCGCAAAAAAAACGAAAAGAGGATCTATGCGTGACGGAGACCATAGCAGAGGGGTCCTATTATGGATAAAATAACGAAAATAAGCGGCCGTCGTACAGCATTTGAGGAAGCCTTTACGAATATGCAACACTAAATGTGCTTCTGTTCCAGGGAGTTTATAATTATCGCAACAGAGTCACAAGCCTTTTCTGTTACTCCACTGCAATAAACTAAAAGGGACTTAATTATTTCGCACTTTCTAGTACACCTCGAACGAGTGCGCTAATTAAGGTGCTTTTAAATACATATTTGTTTAGCAGGGACCTGACCTGAGACCACTGCTAATTCTACAATGTGGCAATTTTTCCAGAATCATATTGAACTTTTTCATAAATGCTAGTTTCGTTCACACAGATTGTGTGCACACCTTTCTATAAGCAACTGACTTTGATAAATTTTACTATCTGCTGTCAAATTGAAGCTTATTCCGAAATCCAAGTGTAGCCCCTCACTGACGATTGCTGCAGAATTAAGCAGAAATCTGTATACTATGTTGTCCCAAGTAATCAAGCAGATCGAAACTTTTTAAATAACTTACGTTCCCCACTACTGGCAGATACAACTTACCTAACTATCTTCGACTATAATCTGATTGCGTCTCGTCAGAAAATTAGTTTAGATCCAATAAAATCATTTATTGCTAAAAACAAACACTCAGTAATTAAGTTTCTCAATAAATACTTAAGCTGAAAGCAGTAGTGAGACGCACTGAAAATTAACGCTATTAATAGCAAAAGAACAGTGCTTCACTAGTAAGATCATTTGAAGAATAAACAGAGGGAAATTGAAGATTACAAAGGAAACTATTACCTTAAACGCACTGTTGGTTCTTTTTTTGTATTCGTTCGGTTGAAAGGTTTATGTGCAGCCTTTCCGCTCGTTTTGTTCAACTTCTTAGTGCGATTGCACAAGTAACAAGCTGTTTAGTTGAAAGCCTCCTAAGGCCTGGCTATTTTATCATTTTTCAATGAATTCTACCTGCGCTTTAGCCTTTGATTTTTACATATAGAGAATGACAAAATTTTGATGTAAATATTTACCAAAAATCTATTGCTAACGATACGCAGCTTGAGCTATTCAAATTTTTCGAGCTGCTGAAAAATATTAGGAGGATCTGCTCGAAGTTAGGCAAAGTTCATCTATCGACCACCTACCTACCTAACTGGTCCTACATTGGTTGCCCCTTCTTTAACCGGTATATTCGTATTCATTTGTTAGTGTGTGTATTATCGAGCCGATGAGCGGTAAGAACAATCGTTGCCGTACGACGGCTGATGAGCTCGCGATTATCGTAATATCCCCACTCCCGGGAATCATACTTGTGTCCTACTCTAATGATATGTAACTATGGGATCGTGGATAGGATGGATGAAACAATTTCGATCCTGGTACATCAATGACTGTATTTTCGCTGTTCTTGATATTTCAACGATGGCTCGCGGAAAAATTACCGTTCTTCAATGGCGATTTTAAAAAAAGAAAGGCGTATTTACTATACGTGTGTGATCAACTAAGCAGATTACACACGTGTGACAGCACCAGCTTCGAGACATTATTCCTTGTACCCTCTTGTTGTTTGGGTTTGCTACTAAACGGATAAATTTGATTAACTTGCTCATTTCGTCATGCCGTATTTGATTGTGACGATGTCAGCAGACCTGTGATGCGATCAATACGTATCTTTCCAACGTTCTTTTCGAACCTCTTGCTCAACCTTCTCAATACGGCCACAGGAAATTTTGACAGCAAACGTTAACGTAAAAACAAGAATCAGCTGTGTATTTTCATTATATAGAGCTCACATTGAACTAATGTGATTTAGGTTTCGAGGCCAAGTTTAGGTCATCTTTTTGTATGAAGCTATATAACAACGGACAACAGTTGAACGGTTGACTTCCAGCCATCTGGACTTACGAGTGTAGCAAATGATGAGCGAAGTGCATTGAAAGCAGCAGATTTAAGCGTAACTATGTTAGTGTGACTGAGATCGAGATTGTTTTTTCAAGATGTGTTTAGAACAATCGAAGGCAGTTAGAAGGAGGAGCGTAGTTAACTTCGTTCGCCATAACTCTAATTATCTGCCACACTGAATTAGGCAAACCAATGCTAAGCCCAGCGAAGCTAGCAACAAAACGAAGATACTAACTTCAATAACTGATAGCGTTGCAGCGAATAGCGCCACCCCAAAAACCGCTTGTTATGTCAGCTTTCGCACAGTCAATTGTGATGGACGTCTTGTAATAATTACACGAATAACATGTTGCTCTGAACCAAACTATCTCTTATTGAAATACTGTCTGGGTCGCAGTAATTGTGTATGGAAACATGTCACATATTTAAAAAGTCCAGGAAACTTAATTAATAACACTATCAACAAGCAGTCTAGGTGTAACGTAGAACCTAGGAGAAATTTCGTTTTAATGAGAAAACGATAAGATAAAACTGAATCATGCGAACGCGTACACAGTAATTCTTCTAACTTGATTGAGTTTCTATTCCATCCGAACCTGCGTTTGCTTTTCTACTGACGATCAGATATTAATGAAAGAAAGGTCAGACGGTTTATCTGTGTCAAAATGATCGCCCATATCGTTACAACTTAAAAAGAACACAGAAAGAAGCGTCTTAAACGTACGCACAGAGGTTGTTCGTCGTTGCTACATCGTCAATAAAATCAACGAGCTAAAATTGCTATTCAAGTGCAAAAAATGACGACCGTTTACATACGGTTATTACGTATGTACATTAGATAAATGTTATAGTTCCATGGCAAAAATCTACTAGCTTACTGCCGCCTACTTTGTTCTAAACAAAGTAGCTCTAAGAGCTGCTTTTAGTCTGTGTGCGTTGACGAAACAACCAGTCGGCGAGTCCGGCATTATCGGACCGATTTATAAGGAGATCAGCCAGAAATAAGTGTACGGTCAAAAAGCAATTTCCTTATCAAGTGCAGCTGGTTTCGTATAACCCTATTGAATTACATATAATATTAATTAAAAATCAATCGAAGTAAACGAATGCGATCAGCCTTTGTGTTCCGTTCCCATTTTGAAACTGCTAGCTTAGGACCGTATAAATATAAACTAGCGATGATATTTTTATAAGCTGCAGCTAGCTTGAATTTGATTTAGGGGATTTTCATCTAGGTACGTCATGAATGATCATCAGAATATAAAAACGTGCGTCAGTCTTCCCTTCCGATCTCTGTGTAAGAACGAGCACACAATAAAAAATAACGAATAAGAACAAAAACACAATAAAATAATAGTGCTGGTTCATTACTAAAAATGTTGCACGGCCATATCGCGTTGGCCAATGTTCTAGAAGGGTAGATATAAGCGCAGACTAAAGCGAGAGCACAGGTTGCAGGAGATCAAAAATCGTGTTCCTAATTGTCACAATGGATTTCGCAACGGCTGTGCACACGAACCGGTTTAACGTTCCTCGACAGGCCACTGGAATACATATATAAGTTTCGCTGCTTGTTATCAAAGACCAGACCCAAAGTCAAAACCACGCACAGTTACCACTACCGTCGCTAAGGGATATAATGTCCAGCAGTTTTCTTACCCTGGGGCCCCAACCTAGAGACGTGTTCTCAACGTGTAACTGAGGTAAATGAAAAAGCCTTACCCAGCGGCAACACGATGCTACCATGCCGATCTCTGTACTAGCTGGACTACCGTTAGCTAATCTACTACAAAATGATTTTGCTTCGTATCCAACTTGTACAGAAAATATTGAGACGGGGCATACGCTAGCTGTCTGCTCGTATGAAAGATAATCTAGATTTTTGAACTATGCTTCAACCAGGTGGGCGCAAAGTGAACTATAATAATAATGTCTCCTCAACCTGGCAAAACTCATTGCTCCTTTTCGACTCCTAGGACTGCTAGTTTACCGCAGTGATCACTGCAGATTCGCTCCCATATGCCGTGCAAAGAAAAGTGTCGCATGTCCGTAATACTCGATTTTGAAAGTAGTTCCCACGGAACATGTTGTAACAATAACTCAGCAAAAATGAACACTCCTAAATTGTAGCTTGTTTGCATATTCAAAGAAGCCAGGTGGCCTGAAGCAAAAAGAGAACAGACCATTTAGAAGAAGGTCGAGTGTTGTCTTGTCATCTCCCTGTTCCTTTCTTCGTATCAAAAAAAAAAGTCAGCTGATGCCTTACCATGGACATTTATGCTACACAGCTTCGGTAGTGACTCTTCCTGGTTTTACTTTCTGTCTTCATATATATTAACGTCGTACTAATACTGATTTAAATAGTATTTGTTCAAGCAACACCTCATCTTGGAATAGCGATAGCGACTAAACGGTGCCTAGGATGAGTGGTTAGGCCGTGGAAAAATATATATATACAATTAAGGAAAAAAGGTACAGATAATAGTCAAGGCTAATACTACTGTATACGGCTTGGACCAACATGCATGCCGAAATAGGAAACTGAGCGAATGCTTTGTGACTAGGGTAATCATTGAAGGTCTAGTGGGTGAAGAGTCCTGCGAAACTTTCCCGGGTCTCTTTAAAATTGTTCGCATCGTGATAGTTGACTTCTGACCTAACAGAGCAGGCAGACGTTATCGAGCTGTTTCTATTTCGTGACATGACCATAATGTATGGTCCCTAGGGAGACAAGACGAGAATACAGGCAGTGAGCGAGCAGGTCGATACGTTCATCTGAGAGCCATTCCGTCCACGGCTAAAGTGTGTAGTCTACGCACCCTGCGCGGCTTTGGCTGGGATTATACAAAGAGATACTACACCTGTTGTTATATACTATCTTATATACTATATAACAGGTTCGACGCAAGCAGAATGACGATGCAGTGTGTCGGATTTAGGCAAGCCCCAGATACAACGAATGATGTTGCATTATACCTTACGCAAAAAGTTAGTTTGATAGGTGAGCGCTTCAAAATGTATCATCTGAACGTGTATTTTGTCTTGTATAGAATCTATATTCTATAGCCCCAAACGTGCAGGAGCCGATCTGCATATAGGTGCTACTTATGTCGAAAACGTTTTCATTGATTCTCGGGAATTTTAACATGTAGCATTTAAAAAAAGGGAGAGAAAACATGTTTTCGAAGAAATTGATGTTACTCTGAATGACTTTTTTGGAGAGTGTAATATGAAGCAAAAGAAAAACGATGTTTCTGGGTGGTTTTCTCAACCGTGGTAACGAAGCTATGAGACATATTAATTTAAAAAATTGCGCAGTTTTTCGAAATTTCAATAAACAAAGTATTGGATCTTCCAAAATGAAAACATTTTTTACTTTCTGCCGTGGACTGAGTTCATGAAAAATATCGGTATAGGGAAGAGACTATATGTACAAAAAAAGTATGAGGACCTATGTTCATTTGTGGCAGCAGACTGATGTTGTACATGCTACTGCAAAATTGGCCAACTAACAACGGCCGTTCGGTCCCGATTTTCCCTGAGACTCAAAAAAAAGGCCTTTATGTATGGTCTAGACAATAAAAGCGTGTTTTCCTAGGATGCTGTGTTTGACAGAGGATTCATACCATAACAGACGTATTTTCAACGACGTAACAACATTCATTTTCATGGTGATATTACCGCCTAAACGAAAAGCAAGATTCGAAGTCATCAGAAGCGTAAGATTTGGTTTGGTTGAAATATACACGGAGGAGTTCAAGTAACACTTGCGCGGAGCATTCGAATTCCGAATAAAGGCGGACTGCCTGCCATAGCGTACACGACTTCATTCTCTATTTTTGCTAGCAGGAGAAAGTCAGTTCTTCTAAAATAAAATAACAACCCCATCATAGTGGAAAAGGATACATTGTTTCTCAAGTTTAAGCGATGATTATCTATTACTTCCTGTGTTTCAAACTTTCATTTTTACGTAATCCACGTTGTTGGCCGGTTTCATGCGGTTCCTGAAGAAATACAAAGATTTCTAGCTGGCAAACAAAAAGGTCTTCAATAGAGTACAGATTTTACGAGCTCGAAAAGTAAACGGCCCAAAAAGCCATTTTTGAAACACCTGAAAATTCTACATAAAGAAAGAGGCTGCCGTTTTGGAGAGCAGCTATCAATCGTTAATTAAATCGTTCAGACAAGCTTCAAAGGTTTTTCTTTTTGGTACATTCGTTACCTTTATGCACCTTTATACTTACTGGCTGTTTTGAAACCTTGGTTTCAATCCAAAATTACGCCGGAATTTTTTTGTATGTAGCTCACTTGATGACGCGTTGATAATTTTACATTTACCAATATCGCTCAACGTATGGTTACCATTAAAACATGATTTGCGGATTTAAAGAGGGGTATTTTGGATACAATGGTGGTTGAACTGTAATCATATCGAACGATAGTTATATGGAGAAAACATAACCGTTTGGAATGACACATACGTTGAGTATCTGTTGATTCAGTCCTGGACACAACTCATAAGGAAAAGTCCGTATTTAGATATCCCAGCCTGTAGATGTGTGGCCTCCCACTCCTTGTATTGAAGTAATGCCACTTTTTTTATGTATGGCACGTAGATATTCGGTGTAATTAATGGAAAGAATCTTGCCAATCTAAGACAGTACAGTCATTTGTTAATCAAGCAGAATTCAGTTCGGGTGTTACAAGGACCCAAAAAAAAAGAGCCTGAAATTAATTTCCAAATAGTAATATCGTTTTTCACAAAAAAAAAGAACGAACTATAAGTACGCAGCAAATACCGATGATAGGTCTTCAGTGTATAATAATACAACTTATATACCGTATGTATATATATATATATATATAATATAATATACGTACATATTTATATACCTACTTATATAGCTGTAGCAACAATTCCTAACAACAACAAAACCCAATCGTAATAGATACTAGACGGCTAATATTTCGTGGATTTTGTTTCACAGGTACGAATGGATAAAAAATGGTCGGGTGTTTGATTATGTCTCTTACGATAAAAGAATTAGTAAACAGCCGAAAAGAGGCACGCTCATTTTCACTAAACCCGACGATGTTGATGAAGGGCTTTATCAGTGCAAAGCTACCAACCAGTATGGCACTTCAGTTTCCAATGCGGTTTTCCTCAGGAAGTCCGAACTCAGCAACTTCGCCGACGACAAAACACAGGAGGTAGGAACGAATTTTTAATTAAGAATTAATGCTACTATCGCGACGCGTACAGTCTAAGATGATGTGCACAAAAGCGTAGATAATAAATACGCATGGATCTGTTTATACATATCTTGCTTGAACTTTACGGACATTTGTTTTATCCTGTGTGATCATCATAGCCTTTTTTTAACGCGAAAAAATCTAGCTAGCTATCATTGCTATTATTCATAGATGACACACAACTGTTGGCCACTATGAAAGCGAACTTCAAAGGTTTGCGTCCTTCGGAAAATTCGACCTTGCCTGTTAGGTTGCTCAAAATGAACTAGAATAATGTATTTTGGTTAAACGTGCTGTGTGTGCCATAAAGCCCCTTATCGAGTCGCACTTCTTGGTTTGTTACCACGTACACGGTCGCCACATAGTGACTAAGAGAGACCCACCCGTTCTGTATGACGACCTATTGTTTCTTTTATTTATCTACAATCTAGAGAAAGTGGTGGGACGGAAATCTTTTTCGGACTGAAATTTGTTTTGGAACTTAGGGTTCAGGAACATATTCTGAAACCACCAATTTTTTTTTCTCTACCTCATATTGACGTAAAAGGATCATCCCTAACAGTTGACTGCATACGGCGCTGCCAACTAGTCATTGTTAGCCGCAGCAAACCGTTTTTGATTCGTATTTTTGGGCATGAAGTCGATTTCGTACAGGGCACAAAGCTGCTGAAGCAGCTTTTAAATTTGCTGAAAAGACAAATATAGTAGGCGTCGAAAATGCCCTCTTCTAATCAAAAACACCCATCTTTCGAGTCTGAATTACATTGAATTGAAAATAAAATACCGTTCAATAGCCAGCGAGATCAGAGCGAGTTTATAAAAAAGAGAGGTGTAGAGATGATGTAGATATTGAACTAACAATAGGGAGCCCGGGGAAAAGTAAACGTTTGAAGATAACTGCCATTATCTTTTCAACAGCCTAATATTCTCAATAAACATTTTTTTAGTGTTTCCTTCGGTGCGCTCCTTATTACGCCAATCAGGCGCTCGAGAAGTGTGTTTGCGGCGGTTCCTTCTTAACATGAAAACCTACCGAATTCTCGATACACTAGGTTTTTCCTGAGTAGGCTCACTTTTTAGCGTTCCTACACTACTCCGCGTGTGTTTCATTCTCATGATCCGAAAAACACAGACCACTTTTGTCAAGCATTAAACTATTGAAAGGCGAAAGTTAGCTCCTGTCGATTCTGCAGCGATCCTGTTATAAACGGAGGAGTCGTTCCAGGATTCCTCCACAAGGAAATAAGCGGACCCAGATTTTGTATGTTTGGTCCAGTTCTCTAATGTGTGGTAGGCCCATTAACGTCATGTCCCACAATTCGAACGGATAAGTTTTCTTGACTCTTTTAGGGGACTTTTCCGGTGCTGTTAGTAACCTGAGTCTGTGCGGGATGCTCGTGGTCCTTTCGCCATGATTTATATCGCACTCTATAACCTTATCTACGCAAAGAAGTGCATATCTAGACCCTTTTTTTTGCCGTGAACTTCTTATTGCTATCGTTGTTTATTAGGAATTGTTTCACAAGTATGCTACTGCTGGTCATCCACAATCCTACTCAAACACCACTGCTCCCTTTTACGAATCTGTGTTCACGAAAAGTAGCGGTACCGACAGGGATTCCCGACTCAAACGTTGTCCATTGTATGATGTGTCATTACCTCGAGAGACACCCGTTTCTGCAGCTATGCCGATGCCCATGTTACTTGCCTCGGTAGGGCCAATCTCTTGGAAAATTCGTTCTCAGATTTTCCAAGTGCATGTCATTTGTTATAAACCTGTATCTGTTGAGCTGATATCTTCCTTCATTTCTCAAAAATAGGCCTGTGCCAAAGTAATTCTGCCTCCATAGAACAATATAATTTTTCGAGATTCATGCAATATTTTAGGATATGTCGCAGCTTGTTACTGTTATAGCATGAACGAATAGGTTGTTAGAACAAAAAAGACTTTCAGCTGTGCTTGCAAGTTTCATTTTTTTTTTCTGTTAATGTTGAGGACGTGTGTACCGGTTTGTACTGTGTTCGTTATTTTTGTTGTTGGATTTCGTAGCCTAATAACTCAACTAGTACGCCGATACAATACCAGCTTTGCGTTTTAATCGCTGTGGTGTGCTCGTGGTGTTTCTGGCTTCCTATATAGCTAGCAAGATAACTGCTATTGCCGTATCTAGACTAAAGTTATTCAGTAGCTTTTGCCGTATTGCAAAGGAGAACGTAGTATTTTTCGATAGACGTCAACCGTACCCGACCGATTTGCGTTTTCAATAAGCGCTTTAGTTGGTTTTTTGTTTACTTACTTGTCAATTAAACCTAAATGCAGTTTATTAGCGAGCAGTAACTATTGATGACGATTTATTAGTACCCATTGTTGCAAACTTGTACGCGAGGCTTGATTAGATTTAAGTAAGCTGTGCATATATCAGCTGCTTTAAATAGAGCACAATGATTCTATATGAACTTCTGTTAGGTTCTGAGGTGACCAAAGTATAGAGTCAAGCTTGTTTCTGATGGTGTCCGATAGCCTGTGAGTCTGCAGATAATTGAATGTATCTGTTGTACATTTACATTAAACATTGCTTGAAAAAGGAGATTAGTCGGACACGACTAACGTTTGGGAAAGGCACTCTGCATTATGGCGAGGACGACGGAAGTGTCGACATGACTATGACCATTACCTCGACAACGATAAAATAAAACTGGTTCAATTGTTTGGTTTAGCCGTCGAAACTTATGGGATCTGACAAGTTAAAGCCGAATGGTCGTGAACCGCGGGTTGCATGCGCCACTTGTCCTCCACGTATAAAGTACTTCATAAGTACTACTAAGTGTTACTTGGCTAGCATCGCGTCCTGAATTATTACGCTTTCCTATCTGTACACGGTCCTTTTTCATCATCTCTAAAATCGAACGGAACGCTCAGAAGTATTTCTGCCTCAGCGTCTTTGCGTCTAATGACTGTGTCGTGATTGGTCGATAGTTAGATGGTTTATTACGACGTCATAAACGATTACGTGCTGATCTTTACGTAGCTTGTCACTATTACAATGTCGATGCATTTCCTTCAAATGAACTCAGCCTATTTTCGTTATTTAATATCGTCACTGAACCTTATCTTGATATGACAGCGTCATTTAGTTCAATGTATAGTAGCATCGACGACTCTGAAGCTTCGTCACGAGCTTTTTCTAATTGAGGATGATCTGAAGTTCTTGACCGGTCTCATTAATCAGTATTTTGATGAGTGCTATAAAAAAAATTAGTTTGACTCGTTCTTCAGTTGATAGGGGCGAGAGAAGATACGGTTGGACAATGGCCAGGTACGCATCACGAATGAAATGGGATGTTTACGTTTTTGTGTGTTATTCATTAGACAGAGAGACTACTGAATTCAAAAGTTTTTTTTCTTTGAAAATGTCTATGTGCGCGCTTATCATATGTGTTTTGAATTGAAATGCTGAGATTGATTAACACAGGCCGAACTGTGTTGTCAAGGGAGGCCAGACCTAAAATTAACTCCAGCTGTTTTTTTATTGAGATTACATTTGATGAAACATAGAGAATGGTGCCACTACGGTTAATACTGATAATAGATAATCTAATACCAGCAGTGAACGCTCAACGACGCTTTTTTCCGTATTTATCTGATTATCGAATTATTCTATTTTTTTCCACTTCCTTCTGTGTTCAGTTGGTGCTTGTTGCTACACGTATGAGTATACATTCTTCACAATTAGCTAGTTATTGTAGGCTTATCAACATTGCAAACGGTTCAGTTGGTTAATCGAGAAGTATTTCCCGCCAACACCACCGAAGCAATCTAGTTTTTGATGAGCAGCTACTTTTCCCCATCGGACATTTGTGCCGACACATTGGTACATCCTTTGAAAATGGTTGTCCAGCAATTGCCTGTCGCCTCGATCCCGCAGATTGTGTACTCCACTTAATGTCAGTAAATGGACAAATCGAATGAGCGGACCGAGAAGCTTCTTTCGGGTTTATATTGTAGGTCTCGAGAAAGTCCACACTGGGCCCCTCGAAAAAAAAAAACCCGGTACGGCTTCTTTTATTTCTCTCCCCTAATTTACTATTAGCCTTCTATTAGTTTGCTCGTAATTGTCAATGGCACTTGACATCGTGCGATTGACAGCAAGCTGACGCAGACGACAACCAACGCGTTACTCAGTGATGCAGGTTTAGCCTGTTACCGCTGCTTGACCCAGATGAATATCTGGGTCGAGCAGCGGAGTGACTGCCAGGACGCTGTAGAGTGCAAGCTTTTTGTGTAATAATGAAACTCAAATTTTTAGCAACGTTATTCAGTTAGACTCTATCCGACACATTACGACAGACTGCGACCGTTGTCTCAGCCGCTGCAAATTTCGCGTTCAGTCTAAGGAAACGGACTAATGCAAAAAGTATGATTAGGTTTCTTCGTCTCATCCAGCATGGCTAAAAGGCCGTTCGATTTCAAATCTCACTATCATAACATGGTGCTTTTCTATGTGCTTTCACATAATTAGGCAGCCGCATCGGCAAAAGCATAATAATAATCATCATCCGATATCTTGAAGCGGATGAAGGCTTGCGTGTATAGTATGTCCGGACTTCTCTGAGATTCTTGCTGGATGGCATGGCTTGACGAAAATGAATTAAAGCAAAAAACATATCTAAGGAAAATCAGCCTGATGTTAAAAAGCTACAAAGACTTTTCCATAAACTATAATTGAAAATCGGGCGAAAATAAACTTTTTGGGTCCTTATCTCGATAAAGATTAAGAATCTATGAAAGATCCAAGCGTTGAAGTCCAGTTAGATTTTCAAAGAAAAGTAAATTCCTATTAGTTTTGTCTATGGCGTTTCAGCAGAGAAATGGCCAACAATTTATAGTAGAATCAGTGAGTCCACATTGCTTACATGCTCGGTTTGCCAAACGACCTAATTTTTGGCATCGAGTTTTAAAAGTAAGAACCTGTTCATCTTGAATAAGGTCAAATAAGGCGGTGATCACGTGAAGCCGAGTTGTTGTGAGCTCAACCATAGAATAGATGATGAGAGCTAACGCAAGGACGTTTCATAGAAGACATGCATTGTGAATGTGGGGAGCTTTGGGACGAAATGAGCAAGTATTTGCATTTAAGTGTTCAAGACATGAAAAATGTGTCCCTGCGTGGCTCTTTTTGTCACAACACAGATCCTATACAATAACCGTAAGAATTATTGGTTATTTCTTCTTCTTCCAAATGAAGTAAATGGGCTAAAATTATGCTTATGTCGGTTTTAATTCGATTGCAGATATTCGTAATGGAAGGAGAGCCGCTTTCGCTAGATTGTAAACCGCCACAGGGCTATCCTGCCCCTTCCGTCTTCTGGTTAATACAGTCGGGCAATGGAGCGTTGAGATCATTCAACAGGTAGGCCAAAAAACATGCATACCCCGTGTTGCTGGGAGGAGCTATCGGCCGTTCTAAGCAGTATCGCTTAACTCTAAGACAGTAACAGCAGACGTGGAACTTGAATCATTTTAGGTAGATCAAAAAAACAAATAACACTTACGATGACGAAGCATCTGTAAGCGCATTGTCAGAAACAGCTTACGATAAGAATAAAGACAGTAAACAACACACAATTGACAATAAGAAAAAAACTAAATCATATTGAATTGAAGATTTTGAAATCACTAATTCAACTGAACTATAACTGAAATCAATAATTTTTACATTTATATATAATATTATTATATATATTTGTATGTGTGCTAGCCATGCAACTAACGGGGAAACGGCTAAGAGAAAAAGAAAACACACCGGTGGTAATTAACGACAAACAAACGCCTCATTGTAGCTCAGTGAATTGCATTGGAGCAACCTGAAGCTTCGTCGAAAATCAAGGAAAATTTACGCTACGACGAGACTGATTCAAGACGATAAGGGTAAAAGGACTACCTGATTCTACCATCAAAGTCAGGCAGGGAAACAGAACGGATAAAAATAACCGGAAGTCGCGGTAGTATACACGAGTTACGTGTACGTGCCAAATAGCAGCGCAAAAGATACGGCCACCTTTGCAGAAGAAGGCTGCGTAGCCTAAAAGCGTTATATTGTGATAGAAAATGTATTTATAAACAAAAATTAGACAAGTGCAATGTTGGTGCACCATTGCAGTGAGGAATTTTAAATAAACCGCCACGGCTGCGCGGAAGTTTTCCTTCGCTAAGCGTTTTCTATTTTTACCTTTGTTTAGTCTAGAGTTTGCGAAAGACAAAGCAGCCGTCTATTCAGTTGTCTATGCGAACGAGGACGCTTTAGAACCTTAGGCCACAACGGCTTGAAGGCCTTCGATCACCATACAGCCTACCCGCAATGGCAGTTTACCAACTGAAGCAAATTCAGTTCATTCCTTTCGTGTCTCCTATGGCTGAGGCGTCAATGGTAGTTTGCTTATCTTTCACACGTCGTTTACACGAAAAGGGGAAAAACGCGCATCTACAGACTTTTCATCACAAGCCGTATATTCTATGCTGGGTTAATGAAGCTGACTAGTTTAATTCTAAACCAAGAGTGAGCGTGCAGATAAAATTGTTTAATAGGATGCGTTTGAAAGCATCGTCTGTCATCGTAGCTTACTATTTCTTCTAATGTCATACATTTTTTAAATTTTACCAGTCACTCATTAGCATTAGTCTAGCTATCGAAGCAATACACGAACATAGTGACAAGCAGCTTTCATTGATGTAAGCAATGTCACTAATTACTGTTTATAGCTACAACAGATATTTACTAGTATTTAAGACATTTACATTATCTATGAACGCTTTTAGTATTTAATTAAAATAAATTTTCGAAGCTAATGGCCAGCAGTCATGTGGTTGGCCTATGTGGTTCAGCCTGGTGTATAGGTGCTCATATGGACCTAGTATGGAAAATTCTTTACTATATTTTTCCTATAAAAGATATTAAATACGTTTGCCTCGATTCGGCACAGAGGCATCATCTACCTTCATTTAATTAGGGTTTTCTATATTGTTTTATTTCAGCATGTTGAATTTTGAAAAAAAATTACAATATTATTTTATGCAGTCTATCTCTGGAACGTTTTCGTGTGTCTCGTATGGCGAATCTCAAACGAGATTTTTTTGGCCAAATAGTTTGTTTCTTTGATGTTTGAATATACATGGATAGTGCTATGAATATAGCATAATAAACAGCTAAAAAGCACTAATGTTTTGTGTGTATGCATGCGAATTCTGATACAGTTCCAGAATTACTGCAGATCCAGAGGGTAAGCTGCACTTTAGTCAGGTGCTCCGCTCGGACTCGCTGGACGACGCGGTGTACACTTGCTCCGCCACTTCGCACTTCCGCAGAGAATATAAGATTGGCAACAAGGTTGTGCTTAAAGTCGAGCCAAAGAGCTCGTCAGGCAAGACCGAGGTGCCACCTGTGCTTCAGTACACCTCAGGACCTCAGCAAGATCCTCTGCGAGGCAAAAGACACGAACTACATTGCATCTTCGGAGGAACGTAAGTTCGAAATAGCAGAATCAAACTGAATCGAAAGGAAGCTAGCGATTGGTCTTATAAGAGAAGTAACGTATAAAAGAACATGACGTACCTATGATAACTACCTACTGAGGCAACCTATCGGCAAGAAAGACAGGCATGATCGATAACTATGAAAAGAATTGCCATAGATATAGGTGTGAGAAAAACATATCTTTCTCTCAAAACGGCAACAGTTTTATTAAACAAGTGGCTTCACTGGTCATGAACTTCTGAATGTTGATTCAAACTTTTGCTTCCACAACGATCAAAACATTTTGTTAGCTAGATGATTTAGAAAAATTACATTGGGATATAAGGGTTACTTAGTTACTACAACTGTATTTAGTCCCGTTCTCAGTGGTTATATATACACGACCTAATTGGCTTTTCAAAAACATTGACCGTTTTAAGCCAAAACAAACATATTATAAATGAATATTAGCAAGCCAAATACGCGCCGTTTTGATCGACGACGTTCTACCATTTTTCCGGTAACACCGTAGTTTCATCACAATTAAACTTGTGGTCTAGAAGTGAAGAATTACGTTAGTGATTTTTGCGTTCCTACGTTGCAATTAAAACAGTTAAGGGAGTTCCATAGAGATCGAAACAGATGACAAATGAACGATACGTAATCCCGGCCGTAAGGCAGATGCACTAAAATTCTCCATTAGAATTCTCTCAACTTTTACCGGTTAACTTAAGCTGTGGTCCCAGTCAATTTTTTCAGTAGCTTAGTGTAATTTTATTAGTTGTTGATAATCCGGCAGGTCCGAAACAGTCGTTAGAAATTTGGCGGCAGCAACTTTCGAATCGAACATGGTTTCTCGTCAATCTTGTTTCATTTGCACATCGTCGTGTATGACCCAATTGTCATCGCTTGTAACACAGTCACGTTTTAAGGCTGGGTCTACACTGGAGTTTCACAGGTAGAAACACAGATCGAATAAACCATCTTGCGTCAATTTGTGCGACATCCACACAGCAAGCTTCTCGTATAACCAGCCTTCTTCAAATGGTTTGAAACGTTTTATATGACGTTGGCGATATTATGGCTGTACAATTTAATCGGCTTTTTTTTTGTAATTAATCAATTACAAAAAAAGCCGTTTCTTTTTGTCTAAGCCTAAAGTCCTAAATCTGGGCTGTTTCGCGCGGATGATTTTTGTGACTGTATCTAAACAAAACAGATATTCCAATAAAATGATCTGCAAAAAAACGAGTGTCATTCTTGACCGTCATGCTTCTTCAGCGTAATTATCGTTCACCATGGCTATATTTTCAGTTCAGGACCTAAACTCACTAGTCATTTAAGAAATACTCTTTTTTTAATTCTGTCTAATTTTGAAATACTTTAATAGCTTTGTCAACCAATATTGATAGGTGTTTCTTTGATATGATATATGACTTAAATATGCTACATACAACAGATTCCAGTGGAATGGCATTTTGACAGCGGCCTTACGATCTCAAAATACGAGGGCTAGAAACAAACAGCCAGGTGGGTGGGTGCAGAAAACGCGAAGAAAGAAGGCGTCACGGCAAACAGCCTGTCAAAGATTTCCTCAGCTTGATTGCAATACCCATATGTGTATATACTTGACCCTATATTTGACAGTGCTATTTTTGCTCTGCTTCTTGCAGTCCTCTTCCTCAAGTTCGTTGGACGAAAAAGGGGACGTCAAGTTTAGACAATAGTAACCGCGTGGAGATTACTAACTATGGTAAAACACTCGTGATCAAGAATCCGGACTTCGAAGATGAAGGTGTCTACGAGTGCACGGCTAGTAACGGAGTGGGACCACCTAAATCACACTCCATGAATGTCAAAATTAAAGCTGCGCCATATTGGGTCAAAGCTCCTGAGAAGAAGGATGCCGCTGAAGAAGAGACGATTTCCTTTGAGTGTAACGCAACTGGCGTGCCCGAGCCCAAACTACAGTGGTTCATCAATGGTATGCCTATAGAAAAGGCACCGCCTAACCCACGCATGAAACTGCAGGGTAATTTCCTTACCATTGAGCAGCTTCAGAAAAAGGATACGGCCGTATTTCAGTGTAACGCTTCCAACCCACTTGGCTACGCATTCAAAGATTTTTACCTTAACGTGTTGGCGTTACCGCCGAATATAATTGAAGCGCCAGAACAGGTCACCCAAGCTGTGGTATCCTCCACAGCAATCCTAAAGTGTCGCGTATTTGGGGCACCAAAGCCTACCGTGAAATGGATTAAAACGAATTCCAATTCGCCCGTCGGAGGCCGGGAGCTGACCGGAGGGCGCTACAAGGTCCTCGATTCTGGAGATCTTCAGATCACCGAGGTGCTTGTAACTGATAATGGGGAGTACATTTGTAAAGCTAACAACAAATTCGGAGAAACAAGCGCGTCTGGGACCTTAGATGTGAAAGGTAATTTGGGGAACACTTTTAAGACAAGTATTTCTCATTTGATCTCGGTTACTATAGATTAGAACTAAGCAGAAATGTCAACAGAAAACAAAGTCAATGATTTATACATGTATCGTGCATATAACTTACAGATTTTAGAGCGCTGTGACATTTTTCTCTTTGTTGAGCATAAACAATGTTAGGTACGACACCATTGCGTCGCGCCAACTACCGACGCCACGTAGTGCCAGAATCAAACATAAAAAACGTTCGGTTTGAAATAATTTTCCTCTTTTCGAATTTGTTTCAGCGAAAACCATTATTACTCAGCCACCCGAAAACTACGAGGTAGCAGCTGACAAGAGCGCAGTATTTCGCTGTAATGCCCAAGCTGATAATACTCTGGATTTGAAAATCAATTGGTTATTCAACGATGAACTAATAGATTTCGAGCGCGATCCTCGAATGATTCAAGCTAGTGATAACTCCCTTACGATCACGCGGACTATCGAACTCGACTCAGGCGTATACACGTGTGTTGCGAAGACCGAACTGGACAAGGATACAGCAGCGGCCACGCTCACCGTCCAAGACGTGCCCAACTCGCCGTCCATTGTCAAGGTCAGCTGTGAACAGTACACCGCCTTGGTTGAGTGGAAACCCAACGGAGATCGGCGGGCACCCATCCTATCATATACGATTCAATACAATACAAGCTTCTCGCCCGACACCTGGGAAGACGCGTTTGCCAATATTCCAGCTCCGGATACACGCTTCAAGGTTTCAATGTCTCCTTGGGCCAACTATACGTTTCGTGTGATCGCACGCAACAAAATCGGTCCTTCAGCACCATCTGAGACGTCCATGAAATGTACAACATCCGAGTCTATTCCACACAAGAACCCTGACAAAGTTGTAGGTCGCGGCACTCAAAAGGATAACCTCGTTATTTCATGGACGCCAATGCCACGGATCGAGCACAATGCCCCGGGCTTCTTTTACCGAGTCAAATACAAGCGCAAGGATATCGAAAACACAGCAGAAGAAACATCCTGGATCACCGAGGATATCCATGACTGGAGGCAAGGAAATATCGTAAAGTACGGCATGCCTGTATTTAAGCCCTACCGAATCAAAGTGGAAGCGCACAACCGAAAAGGTGCAGCTCACACTCATGCCGTGGAAGTGATCGGGTATTCCGGAGAAGACAGTGAGTATCTACCCCCTTTTATTTGTTTACGTACTAACCAACCATGAGATACATGTAATGTAAGTGTTACTCATCTGCGAGTACTGTATCATTCGATAATGGTCGGATTTCATTAACTTTCCAGAACCGAGTGAAGTGCCTCAGGAATTCCGTCTCATACGGGTAGAGGACGCTAAATCAGCGGAATTTCGGTGGCGGCCAGTGTCTCCGGATTCCGTAAATGGCCATTTCAAGGGATACAAGATTCAAACGTGGACGAACGAAGAGGGCAAGGACAAGATGCGGGAACTCGTCGTACCATCTAACCAGACATATGCGCTTGCCAGAATATTCAAGCCTAACACTAAAAACTACGTACAGGTGCGAGTGTTCAATGAACAGCATGAAAGTGATGAAAGCGAAACAATCAGTTTTGAAACACCAGAGGGAGTCCCAGGTCCAGTCGCATCGTTCGACGGCTTTCCCATGGGATCCAGCGGTATTTATCTTATGTGGCGAAAACCACTGGAGCCTAACGGCAGATTGACTGGCTACCATATAAGTTACGAAGAAGTTCGTGGCACGACACTCGGCGCCGCGGTTGAGCGATCGCCAATTAACGATCCGCTCGAGACGCGCGCCAAACTAGCCAACCTACGACCTAACACTAAGTATAGGATCACAATCAAGGCCGCCACGCAGAAAGGCAAGGGGGAGCCTTACTTCATAGAAGTAAGCACCGCTGATGATAATTTCGCAGGTGGGTTCTTGTTTCTACCTATCGACGATGATGTATTTTAGCTTCTTCTAGGTTCGTAGGATGATGGCGTAGTGGGTAGCGTGTTTACCTGCTAAATCTGATGTGGTGATCTGGGTTCGAATACGGGCGTGGTGGACACCTTTTATTTTGTGCCGGGGGCAAGCCGTCTGATAAAAGGCATAACGGGAGTACCAGACGTAAAACATTTAAGGTTCCTAAGTTATTGTATATCTGTTTCGAATATTCTGCGTGCTGCGAATTTATTACAATGGCACGTAAGTGTAGATAATGAGCCTGATCAGAAGCGAATTTATTTGGGTTTTCCTTTAACCATCTAGCAAAGCCCGACGTCCCCGACTTCATCTGGTCTCTGCAGCCCGAAAAGGACGGGCTTGCTTCTGTGCGAGTGACGTGGCTCCCCAACACAAATCGGCCTGGATCCGCCTTTCAAGTGCACTATCGATTAAAGGTAAGTAATTATTTAATATCAAATATTTATTTACATAAGTAAATTTTGTTTAAGCGACAGTCGTACTGGGACGAAATACAGGCTTGTTTCTACGAACACTACTACTCTGATTATCCGAAGGGTTTTCGTCACTTGGAGATACTTTCCATATCTCTAGATAAAGTTTGAATAGCGTATTACCGATAATACCGTATTACCACATAGCACCGTAGTGCTGCTTGCACTACGGTGTGTGGCATAACTTCGCTTTGTTCTCAGTTAGTTTCATATTGAATCAGGCAGACAATAATATGATATAGTTCTGAAACTACAGTTCAGTGGAACAAAAGAAAGGTTAAGTTCTTTTTCTATTGAACGTTGAAAATGTGTTTTTCCTGAAAGTGTGAAAATAAGAAAAAATTAAATCGTTGTTATGGACTAACTTCATGCGAAACTGTGTCACTGTCGCAATCGCAATGGATTTATGTCTGCCTAGTCTGTAAAATCAGTATTTCCGGTTAAGGACGGGCTTTGGGCAGTTTGGCTTTTATTTCATCCAAGCTTTTAGATTACGTAGGATAGGCCGTGTCTGAGAAAAAATACGGCTTCAATGCTTAATTTTTACAATTGCGTCCGTTAATAGATACCTTATCGTCGATTTTTGTTATTTCATTAACCTCTTAATCGGTCAAAGTTGACACTTCTGTGGTTGTCTTGATTCTTAAACGCGATGTTTAGTATCAGACGAAGAGTCGTTCTATAACAGATAACACAACTCCTCTAAACCTAGACTGGACTAGTACCACTTAACAGCAGACCGATGCTCATTAACATCGGAATAGCTGTGAGTTAACAAAACTATCCCCATAGAAGTTCTCGGAATATGAGTAACAACTTGGTCAAATCGTCTCGAAACAATTTAAACGATGATACCGATATTCCGACCGCCGAAAAGCTTTTTTGACCTAGCTGATGGAGTTCTTGTTTTTGATATGTTGTCCCCCCCCCCCCCTCCCCGGGCTGTTATGGATACCGCGACCAATAAAGAGAAGGATCAGTAATATACGTAAATTGACAAGTGCACATAACAGGCCGTACAACAGGATATATGTCTGAATGAATTTACAACCGGCCTTACTTACTGTAATATTCTGCAGTACACATCCTTATGCAAAAAAAATACATCAAATTTTTCCTTGGCCGCTTCCTAGCCTGCAGTGGCCAATAGCTTTCCAACTGTGGAGCCTTATGGGTACTGCTACCGAAAGGCACAAGGTATGCGCTTGGCTTCGTAGTCGCGCAAATAAATGCATTCCTGATCACGGCTGTCCTGAATTAAAATACGTTGCGACAAAATATCCGACGCTCTGGAGTATAAAATATCGGCTTTTACGAATGCGACCTGGGAGCACTACTGCTTATTGAACCGTGATTATTGCTATCTGTAAATGTCGCACTCTTTCGGGCACGAATATATCGTATATGTGACTAACATGTTCATTGTCTATAATTAACATTTGTAATTAATCCTGACAGTTTTTTAAACGGATCGTTATTAGGTGACTAAAATTTTTACGTGCAAAAATGGGATAGAGCTCTGACTCGATAGAGGTCTGGCATGATGTAAAGCTAAATCGATTACAATATAAGTTTATGCATACATGTCAATGATTTTACAGCAAATTAGAACCGCTTGTAACTATTTCTCGTCTTGAATTATTACAGGGCAGCAGCGATCCTTGGGAGCAGACGCAAAAGAACTTCGAAGACGACACACAGATCGTCAAGGGCCTCCATCCTGGTCGATATTACGAGATGCGGGTAGTGTCACTAGATGGCGATTACAAAACTTACTCAAAAATCGAGGAGGTTATTACTAGCGATGTCGGTGAGTTTTTTCAGTCACGCTACGTGCATATTATATAATTAAATAAAGTAATAAACCGGAATAGAACTTTAAGCACGATTTTCAGCAGCTTCGGGTCAGGGCTAGAACCATAGGACATTTGACGTTGAAGTGGTTTCTCTCCTTCAAGTTTTTCTTATGACTTATATATACTTTTAATAAGACTAGTGCGTTTAGATAATGCGTGACGAATATTGAGGATGGTTGGAAACCGCTTCCGTCATTCTTAGTTTAACTCATTAAGATTTACGCAAATACTGCAAATTAAAATTAAGGGTTGTAGGACACAACACGGACAGTTAGTTTATTCTGTTAACGGCAATTGTCTCTGATGAAACCGGGCGCTGCGCGTTCGGTTTGACGTTGGCGTTTGCTGACGGTCCATCGGTCTGAATCTACGCTAGCGGAATCGCCTCCTCACCCGTTGCTTCCTGACCATGTCCCGGTCGTCTTTAAAGGCAAAATGATTCGAAAACTGTGATATAGACTGTGGTAGGCTGCTTTGTTCCGGTCGGATAGTACTAGGATCCGATAGCAGCTGGCTGACTTATTTATCCACGCAGGCACCTTCCCCTCTTTCTTCTTTCGCTGGTTGCAAGCACCGATCAACCACTAACGACGATGGAAACTAGAACTGGAGATCGTCCGCGCTGAGTCAGTCATGCCCTGAAGGGGGACAGACGGCAAGAAACACTAGAGCTTTGTTGTCATCCCAGCATATTGGAAATACATTGGCACCATGCGTAGTTAGTAGGCTATTGTAGCCGATATTGTTCTCTTTTCCGCCCATATTGAAGACAGCCACGGCAGCCGTCACCGCCATTGCGCTATTCAAGACTCCTACCTCAACGGCATTTTTAGAGAACCGAGAACAAGTCGGCGGGCTCTATCTCTTAACAAACCGACAGCGATGCGTCTTTCACGTGGTCTTTCACATAGCCTGATTTAGAGGCAACAAAAGATCAAAGATAGCAAACGAACATCTATCTAGCCCCCTACTAACCCTGATCAGACACACGGACCACTGAAGCAAAAGTGTCTCTGTATGTCGTTTTTTCGAAATCGTTCTCTTATATATTTATTCTAAATGTTGCTGTTGCCGGCGATAAAGACGTGTTAACTGACGAAAAGAATAACGAGTAGATAATTTTGTATGGCGCTGTGCCAAATACTGCAGCGTAATCGTGCGCCTTTGTTGAACAAGTGACGGACGCCCAATTCTCGACATGTGCGGAGACGGAATAGCTCATCATGATGGCTGTGTGTGGTGTCGAAAGGGTCGAATTTGTTTGGATTTACCATGGAGTATGTGATGCATTAACCTATGCTCTAACCCGTATTTACCAACGACAACATGCGTTGCTGCTAATTTGGTGTTTCTATAGAAAAGATGGTCTCAAAAGATTACCACCAATCGTATGCAGACATAGAACATATATTATCTGTTGAAGAATACTGCTGAAATCAGATTTGAATAACGTACTAATGTTTTGTTAGCGTGCGCGCATCAGCATCACTACGTTCTAGTGTTCTCCACTTACGTGTCACACTATCTGACGCCTTGTCACGTTTCAAATGCTGCTTTGTGAACTCAGGCTTATTTATTAATGTGCAGGCAAATGACTCAGATCATCGGAAAACATCAAAATATGATAAATTGACATACTCTTTAGTTTTATAAAATACAGTTGTTTTCGATCAAACTATCAAATAGATAATAATAGTAAGGCTTAACGGGCCCTATATACAGTTGGAGTAATAACGGGCTTCTTAACGTAGAATTCGGAGAACTCATACTGTCACGGAAACAGGAAGTACGAAAGTAGAAATTAGTGATAAAGTAGTCTACGTAGAAACATTTGCTACCTATGTTACAATAGCTGTGTAACTTTTAGAACTCAATTTAGAAGGTATGTTCACAACAAATGTATGAATAGTAATGTTATTATTATAGTTAAATGCATATATCATATATTTTAAAATAAGATATATTCAAGTGGCTTTTAGAAATTTGTCAACGAACGGGCTAAAACGTCCAAAGTGCACGAATGCTAACAAACGTAGGACAAAGGATAATCTATGTTCCCACTTTGTTCGTCTACCACGTGTATTTACGTAAGGTTAAGAATTGATTATAAATTACTGACCGTTTGTGCTGTACTGTTGTGTTTCACTGATTTCCGTTGCTCCTGCTGGTAGCCATTCATCCTGGATCTCAGGACGATGTGGCCAACGCTTCGTGGTTTATCGGAATGATGTGCGCCATCGCTCTGTTGCTCTTGTTGCTTATGATCGTTTGTTTAGTTAAACGAAATCGTGGCGGCAAGTACTCCGTCCACGAGAAGGAGCTTACCCGGGGTCGTGACCTCGACGGCTTCCCCGAGGAGGGAGGTTTCAACGAGTATTCTAAACCGTAAGTGACTCCTCTTCGCCCGTTACCTAACCGATTACTCGTATTCCCTCACTTCATTATCAAATGTGTCTTAAATCACACTCGCCTCGTCCTATCTGCCGAAGATTTCATTGTGGCATTAGCCCCGTATGGTGTTTTATTAGAGTACGTGAAACTTTCGCTGACGCTAGTATTTCCGTACTTTACGCGCGTTTATTGCCCGCTTTACTTTGTGATCAGAGAACAACTGGAAGCGTATTACGCAGCTTCGGAACCAGCGAGCTTTTCAGGCTACGTATCGTCTCTATGCCTGCTTTTCTTTTGTATTACAACGTTGAATTTACATATAAAATTAAAGATCCTCTTTGATCACTACTGTTCACTCTGTAAAAAATTGTCGCTCAGCCGTACCGGCGTACTGCATCACACGTTCTGACAATATTGCTTTTTGTGCCTATTTGTGACAAAAAATCAGTGAAGCGTCTACAATCGAGAATTCTTTTTCCCTCAAAAATGTAGGAATACTAGCAGATCCGACTATTCCGGCATCCGCATGTATTATCAGCCAGTAGCTGTTACTTTCGATTGACATCCAATTTATTTAACTGCTATTGCAAATCCCTTCACTCGGGCCATTTGAATAAACATGTATCGCTACTTCGCAGCAACTTAAATTAAACTCACCGTTCCCAATTCAGTTTTCTTAGCTGGAATAGGCGACGCATTCTAAGCTGTTCTCAATATACGGGTCAAGCGTCCTTATGATGGTTGTGTTTTCCTCGTAGTTATTAACTTCTTATTGCACCTACCGCTATAATGACTATGATATTAACAATAATAGTAATATGATCATAATCTGGATGGTGGTCCTGATCATTTCAGAGTGGGCCCTTGTAGGGCAGGCTCCCGGACGTCGCTACAGTCGAGCCGCGGTGGTGGTTCTGAAAGCGACTCATTGGCTGAGTACGGAGACGGTGAAGCTGGGGAGTTTGGTGAAGATGGTTCTTTCATAGGCCAGTACGGTGTTAAGAAGGGCCGCAAATTCACGAAGGCCCAGCTGCCGCCCGCGCATGATCCTAACGCGCCTTCAGCGCTCGCCACCTTTGTTTAAGATGGTTGACTATGAACGCCGGCGAGTCGAACTACCAGTGCATGGGAGGAAAAGACGTGCGGCCTTACAACCACATGATTGCCGATGATCCGATCCTCGCCCAAACTGCTTGAATGTAATAAGTAAGACATCAAAACAAGTAACGATGTATCGCAAGTCCGGATTTCGATAAGCAACTAGATATTAACCCCATCTCACCTAACGCATGACCAATCCATGCTTATCGCATAGTTCTATTATAAATTGATATGGTGAAATGTGAAGATAGCAACAACAGCGACTGTACGACAGCTACAAGAGGGAGCGCAAGAAAACATTATGAAGCAGCAGAAGAAGAAAGTCCGAACGAATGAATGAATGAAATAATTGAAAAATGAAGAGGCTTTAGGTGCTTTGATGAGGAACGTGAGCTATCACTACTCAAGTGAAACAGACATAACATGGGCTGCAGGAAGAAAACCACAGCGTAATCGATGGACAGTGATGGAGGCAAATTTAGGAACAGTTATGTAGACAACGATGAAAACACGGACCGAACCTGAAAATGAATGGATTCCCTCACTGCCACAACCCGTGTTGAGACGGAAGATGACGGAATAGTCCTGATGATGTCTACAAACGACCGTAACAATGACGAAACACAGATATAATATAATAATAATTACTATAACTATTTTTATCACTATTGCATAATGAGAAGATCGGATTTGGGTGAACCGACGCAGAACGAAGAAAGAAACGAAAACTGAATGGAAGAGAGAAGCTGTTTAAGGTTTGAGATATTCTATATAATTGCCGGTATTGTGTGTACTGTTTAAAAATCCGGCCGCACTTGAAGTCGACTATTTAATAATATATATATATATATATATATATATATATATATATATATATACATATAAGTTCTTGTCACGGTGATTTGTGTATTCTATAAGGAAATGAAAAAGGTTCAAACGTTTTAAAAGCGTCTAAACGAGACATCTTCGCAAATAATGAAATATGCCAAACTAACCCCTTGAAAAAAGAACTACGTTTTCAGATGCGAGCGGACATAGCGGTACTTACTATAATAGCTTCTAGAATTAAAGAAAATTTCTATTTTGCTTGCGTTCATTTGTGAATGTCCCAAAGCAGCAGTAACCAAGTGTACAGCATCTGTCGCAAACGATGACGAATATACCTTGGTGAAGCAAAAGCACTGTGGAACGAGACAGCCACTTGACCACTCGAAGGAAAACGCATAGTAACAAGAATAATAGGAACAGGAAAAAAGTACCCGTAATAATTTGAAGGCAAAATGGACTAATTATAATATGCGGTAGTGGTAAAGTACTGACGACTATATAGGACCACCAAGTTTCAAACGGCAGCAATAGAGGATATATATATATATACATATGGAGGTTTTGATAGAAACGTTTGATGAACATAACCTACGATGACTCAACCCGAGTGAAAAACACAACGCAGCAGTAGATGAAAGCACCGTGAACAATGGCAGAAGCATTGCCCTAACTAAGCAGCAGAACACGTGTAATTATGAGCGTCTATGATCCAATGGATATGCGAGAGCTGTATGAAAACATTCATGATTTTGAGACGTCGCTTGTCAGCTTGCGATGACGACCTTTAATGATCAATAACGTCTAAAGATATCTGCGACCGGTCGCAGGTGTTACCACTACAGATTGTACACACTGACACTGTCCACAGTATCTACCCCATCTTTACATAATAAGTGCGTCTCATCTTGGTTTATTATTATTAATAGAATACCTGCCCAATAACTCGGTGTGAGGAAAAACAGTGAACTAGATATACATCAATCCCTAGCGAACGTAGGCTACTGTTTTATAATTTATACAGTATTTATTATACGAATGACCTTGTTAATTTAATTTTTTTCGATTATACCTACTTTATATTGCCACGCATTAAGTGGTTCGGTGGGCGCACGTACATTCCAGAATCCACGAGACAGGTATCAAACGTGCATGATGGTACCGTTGTCTCCGTGAAACCTTGAACGAAAATTCGTTCCATGTTTTTATTTATATACGCGTCATCCTTATATTGGCGTAGAATCTCAACAAAATTTCTTTTCTTGAGGTAAAAATCTCATTTTCAGTGGAAGTCACTAAAAGTGGCCTTCAGAAGTTCACTCAACGGCTTATGGTGCCGCTGTTCGTTTCGACGCCATCGAAAGGAAGCCACAGCTGACGCAAAAGATCTTTGCTAATTGCGGATGTTTGTACATCTATTGTTTCCTTTATTTTGATACAAAAATACTTTGCAAAAAAGGCAAAGACAACTATATATATATATATATATATATATATATATATATATATATACTAAATTATTCATCTATAATATATATGCATACACGCACAGAACGAGACACACAAACACAAACATGGCGGGATATACAATAAGAAATGAGCAAAAAGAAGCAGACTAATAAAGGCTGTTACTAATAACATCTGCATTCACGGATACGAGTAATACTAATAAAAAATATAATAAAAATAAATAATTATAGGAATGTAATAATCCTTCCAGAGTAGAACTAAATGATCGAATGCCTTATAAAAGCGTTAGCACAGCTACTTGTTAATCTCACCGTGCGCCTGCCCTCATTTTCGCCACGAAAAAACGTTCCAAAAACATCTATGCCTGTTCAAAATTATCAATTATATATTACTTAAAGTGTTACGGTAACGTTTTAAGATGCTCTCTTTACCTTTTTGACCTGCGCTAAAAGGATGGCCACCCTTCACTCGTACACCGACAGTCCAAGACGGCCGTAGGCTATATAGTTGATGTCCCCGATGTACTTTACTCCATATTCAGAAATCAGGTACTAATATTCATAATAGTGATCCACTATATTAGTTAAGTATCGATTTCTTCAGGCTTTTGAGAAGATCGGTGACAGTGCGACATGGGCCATGGAGAAACGACGCTGTGATCGCGTAGGGTGTGGTCTCGGCCTTTGAATTCGTCAATAGCTGGATAATATGGCAGACATTTTGTTAAACTATTTTCCTGTTTTTGACTATGTAGATATTTTGTATGAACACTGGCCGATTCCCGCATGGATTGTTGGCGCGCTCTTGAAATAATGAGAATAGCGTGAATGGAAATGAGTGGTGACTGTGAGATGAAGCATTAACTAGTATCTTAAAAACATCCTCACCGGGAGCAGTTGCGCATGCGTTTTCGGATAAATATGCAATATAGCTACGAAAAGATTAAGGCAAGGAAAGGGAGACGCAGCGAGATAGAATAGACGGTGCTGTCTAGAAGAGAGTCTAGTATTTGTGTAGAGGATCCAAATCCTCGAAGTAAATAACTAACCAACCGCGCAATACATGCACGAAGATCGCATACTCTGAACTCGAGAATGAGAGACCGCAGGCCTGTTTATCTGCAGCCTTCAGAAAAACCGCCAGAAACTAAATTTACGTCAGTTCTGCGGTATTTGTAGGCCTGAAGATGAACAGGCCTCGAAACGAAACGGGGACGTCTGGACGGGCTCATTGAGAGAGAAAGAGAGAGTGAGGAAAACGATTGCGAATGCCTGACGGCACCGGTAGAGGTATCTCTCCTCGCCGCCCCTCCCGACCCCACCCTGCTAACTCCGTTGATTTACTCTGTTGAATTACTCCGGAATGGAAAACCATAGCCTTTTACCGCGATATCACTATATTCTAGCTTATTCCCATTCTCAAATAATGAGTCTTTTTTACATTTCCTAATACAGTGTCTACCTATCCTGTGAACGCATTGTTACGTTAGTCTCCTCCTTGCCGACTCTGCACTTTTATTGTTCGATAGGAGAAGCTAATGAGCCAGCAGCTATAGCAGAAATCAAAAATTGCTTCTCAATATTTTTAAACACCTATTTGTTTTAAACGCGCGGATCTATAAACCCTGATTCTATTTTACATTGTCCTCTCATAGACAAGACAGTTCAAGCAATTTTGTTTGCATATTTACATGCATTTTACCCTAAGTGTATTTTCAGTATACTTATTTCTGCCTGTCAGTAGACAATATAAGGCCAGCACATAAAGCGCCGGGATCACTAACCCAACCCACAGAGACACTGTAGAAAAACCTTCAGATACGTCCTAGATGTACATAATGAATCACAAAGAAACGGAGGCAGCACAAATATAGCAACACTACACATGAAGCGAATATAGGAAAATTTAACTACGAAACCACAAAGACACATTTTAAAGAAGAATATCTAGCAGCAGAGCGCATCGAGGACGAGGCTGTACTTTGGCGAGGTATATAGAATCACGTATGAGAAAGAAGCTTGGAAGAGCATTGTGCGCTTTTATTTCAAAATGGCCTAACATTGTCTTAATTGGCAGGTGAAGTTGTTTCCCTTACCTACTTCTGCTGAACCAGTTTGGCATGGTTCTACAGGTGCGCTGAGACACATACGCAGAGTTTCACAAGCAATGCTATTTACAGTTTCTTTCTAACAATGAATAAATTATCTCGCTTGGGAGAAAAGGCCATTTTGGATAGGAAAAAGAAAGCCTATTCTTAAAAACACAACGCCGTGAGTGAGGAAAGGTGCGCTTCCTGTTTCGCACTGTAAAGTGTACGTTGTAAAGGTGAGCAAGTGGGCCGAGAACCTTAACCTCCTGTTTATGACGTTAACTTCCTTTAATGCTTCTGGTGCTTCTTGTACCACTGATATGTGCGAAATTCTGCTCGCTCGTTTAAAGCAACGAATAGATGTTCGGCATACAACCTGTCCAAGCGGGGACAACGAAAAGAGTTGTGCCCCGATTTCGGCCTAGCAACAAAAATATGCTTTAAAAATCCTTTGTGTGTATTTTAAAAGTGAATTGTTTGTATGTGACAAATACAAGTCCACAAAAACCATCAAGCCTTTACATTATGGCCTCATCTTTGTAGTGCTAATAGATGCGTGATTTTTGAGGACTCTTATCTAACAAAATGTAGCGAGGCATTGAAACAGTCGACGATGGAACGCATCAGTTACACAAAGGGTAACGAAGATAAGATTTAAATAAAACAGTCAGCCTCGAGCACTTTACTCACACATTGTATGTTAAGTGAGTGAGGAAGCACCTTACATAATTACAATTACATTGATTGACCATGTGCGATGACGATTACACGACGATCGATTGCTAATATTGTGTATGTAAAGCGAAAAAAAGATAAAGAATAAATCTAAAATTAATTTGCCAAAAAGTAACGAGTTATCAGTTCTTGAGCACTACGTTCTGACTAGACTAACTAGAAAAACGCTCTGTTTGTCTAATAAAATTCTGTGGTTGCCAAATATCTAGTCATTTTCAGTAACATATATGTATAGGCGTAAATGCTCTGTACATGGGCTGGACAGATGCGATTACTGCGTTGGAAATTGGAAAACGTTACTTTGTATTTGTTTGACAAATAGTACCGACCCACGAAAGGAGCAGCTCCGCATAAGTGATCGATACGCTCACTGCTTTGTGTCCGCCTACGATCGCATGACCGGCGTTATTCGAGCAACTAAATGTCCCGCAAGACTTGATTGTTTATTTATTGTAGAGAACACATTGCTATCGTATGCAGAATTACCGATGCAGTTATGACGGTGCGTGACAGCACGCTGTCCATCTGCCTAACCAAATCTGCTTGCTCAGTCGACGGAGCTCTTAGTGGCGCCACGCCGTTCCAGTAGAACGTTTTTCTTCCACGGCAGCTGCACCCTCCCTATATTCTGTTTTCGCGGATGCGCTAGAGAAGGCCGTTTCGTTAGAAGCATCGGAGCCACTACAGGAAAACTAAAAGAAATAAGAATTCATCGGAAGATGATGATAATAATAGTAATAATAAAAAAGTTTGACATCATTCAACTAGTTAAGCCTGCTAATAACTGCGCGGCAACAACAAGAATCAAATCCTTTACATCGACGGCTCTCGTCTGATTGAAGAGATCATGCATATGGCTGTATAACGTCAAATTATTGTAGTGATTCGTACAAGATAATACAGACAAAGCAAGGATCCTCAAAATAATGACATCAAACGAAAAAAAGCTTTATCGGTCACAGTTTTCGAGATGTGGTCTAAAACATGAATTTTTGTTGAAAATGTAGTCCGAAATTAGTCGATGACCTCTTAAATAATGGAACTAATGTCTGCATGCTGCTTGTTTTGTCTCATATTTATACATTTCCAGTTAGTGGAATTTCTATTGATGCTCTTGTTTCTGTCTGACGGTCATCGTCTCAAAAATGGGCTTACTGTAAGCTTTTCCATTCAACTGCGTTCTCTAACCCACTTCGTATTTGACAAAACTGCCTAACAATTGAAAATGTATCCTTTTTAATTATTCGCAAGCGAAGTAGCCGTTTTATAATAATTTCAACAAAAAAGGGCAATTTTTATTACTCTAAACAGCACTTACAAATCATTAAATTGTTGAACGCTTTTACATGAGCTGCTGTTGCTTTTTGATTAAATATGACAAGGGATGTTTTTTTGGACAGCCAAATTCGAAGTTCTGCTGTAAACATTTGCGGTTTTGAAGTAATAGTAACCGAACACTGATAAATAATATCGAACAAAACGAGAACGGATAACCCGAAAAACATTTAATATTACAGAAGGAAGAAGTCTGAAAAAAAACATTTTATTGGGGTTCACAAATCGGTAAAGTGGGATGGGTTTTGCATTCCTTTTTCAGCGAGAAAACAGTCAGCAGGTACTTTTCTACAGTTTTAACGAAGCCAGTCAAGTGTCAGAATGAAGAAACACCCTGCATATCCTCATTGGGAGAAAGGCCTTATTGGTAGAGTTCTTGATAAAGGATTGTCTTAGTCAAAATCGACAAACGGAGCGGCATTTAGTAGAAGTTTAGCTAATCGGTGTAATAATAAGTAAGTAAATTAGAGAGAAAATACGAAGAGTGCATAGGTTTCGATGAAGTGCGATCATGGCCTAACAATGATCAAGTGATCTTAAATCAATATATGTTAGAAAACTATCATAACTTTATGCACCGAACAAGTCAATAGTAGATACAATAGCGTCGCACCTAACGCTTGAGAATAAGGAAGTGCCTATAAAATACTTTGTGTTGGGATTTAGAACCGCTTTGCGCATAAAACGAGGAACCTAGTTATTTTAAAATGTACATTTTTCGTTTTTAGATACTACTTGAGGGTACAATTAAACGCATAAGTTAACAAAGACAGAAGCATACCGCAATCGACTCCTCAAAACTGTACATTTTTGATCGAATTCTCATTTTGCTGTTACTAGCTGTGTTCAGATCATGCTAAGAAAACGCCAAAAAAACAACGTAACGTAACCCGAGCAACACAAAGTAACACTGCAGTTTCCGTCCTTCCGCCATTTTGACCACACAATGTAACGTCGGGATGTCGGCAGGACCTTTGGCCATTCGCTATGTTGTGACAGATGCCGTGACCATGACAATTGCGGCCTTGCTATTTAACTAACAGTAGTTCTTCCCGCCTGTAGAAAATTTTCCCACACTACGCTCTCAAATTAAACGGTACTTTCCACTGACGGTGTCGTGACTCTTGCTACCATGTTGACGATTATCGTATTGGTTGTACAGTTATATATATATGCCTGCTTTAGCAGGTAAGAGCCAATAGTGGTTATATAGCGTAGAAATTTTTGCTATAGCTAATCAATACATCTCAAGAATTGTGCAGTTGATGCCAAACTATTGGCCAAGTGCCCTTTCGACCAAAGTGTCAGTTTGTGGCAGTGTCCAAAGTACACTTTAGTTAACCAACCAAGTAAGACCTTAATTATGTTTCAAGGACATGAAGAAGGCGCGCATGGGCATGTCTTTTGATTCTGCTTGATTTTGCTTTAAGGCAAACGACGAAGAAAGTAAACCTGCAGGAAATGTTTACTAGGAGAGAAGAAGTCTTGAGCGAAAACTTCACACACAGAAGGTTTTGTGCATTAGAAAAGCAAGAAAGTCAGCCAAAAGGAAACCATCTACATCGCAGATTTCAAACAGTAACTGGAAAATGTTGATGTGCAACTACTTCGTCTTTTTACTAATAAATACCTTTATAAATAGTACGCGATACTTATTTCGTGGTCAAAATATCAAGATTCTTAGATCCGCTTTCGGTTGTGGTTACATTAACAGCAATGTCGACGGATTGCATTTTGTCTGTGAGCTTTTCTTAGTCTCAAATATTGACCAGAATGTGTCAAATCAGGGCTTCTTTTATTTATTTGTTTTTTTTACAGCAAAAACGCATCGTTCTTGTTGAAGCATAGATTTGCACAATCATATCGAACACATCGTATTATTGTTTCAAAGCGAGCTGAGTAAAATTTGTACCAAAGACGAAGCAAACTGTGTTGTAACTTATTTAGTGAATCTTTCAGTAACGTGTACACAGCCCGAAAACGATTCCGGGGACTACAACTAGAAATCTAAGAAAGGTAATTTGGCATATCTAATTTTTTTCTTTGCGTAATCTTTAGGTGTATTTCGTCAATCTCGAACTACCAACAATAAATATTCTATATTATTTGTCCTTTTTCGTTAACTGTGTCTCCCCCGATGAGACGCTCATTGAAGGACACAACCAGGTACATACGTTCGATTTATTATAAGACGTTTCTCACTTATGTTATGTTTATCGGCAAAAACACAACTATAAGCAGCATTAACCTACTAGGGGCCATTCATCTTTCCGATGAAACTCCGAGCAGGTGTGCTCGGTCTTGCTAACTTATATTTTTGCCCACATTTATCAATACTCCAGAACGTCCTGAGGGTCATATGAGCGGGACACGTGAATATTCGGTGGTATATAACTTGGGCCATTAGGGCGAGAAGTTAACTATGCTATCTATCCTTGCATCCTAAAGTTATGCCTGAGTTCATTTAGATCGATTCCTAGCTTTCACTGTTCTCGAAATACTACCTAGCTAGTAGATATTGTCTGAACGTAAACTGATTAACTATGGTAGCTGCTCCTGTTCTAAACAGCCTCTATTCTATGGGCATAGACGCTAGAGCCGTTAAGAAATACGAAAAGTGAAATTTCGTTTTGACAGCTCTGAAGCGACTCAGTTCATTAACGATGACGTCGTGTAGCGGACCACTTAAATTTAGGATCAGACATGCCTTAATGGATTAAAAACTGAAATTGCGTAACGAGCGTGCAATCCACATCACTGCACAGTTTGACAGCAATATATTGAGCAAAATGCCAAAAGTCAGATATAAATACCATGTTCTTATAGGAAAGTCCACATAAATATCAGACTTCAGAACAAACTCAGCAATGGCTTTAATTGTAACTTAAATACCACCAGATAAAACTAGGCCCGGCTGTACCGAAAAGTCCTGCACAAGCAGAAATAGGAAAAGTTGTTTTCGAATTCATGGAACTGATTAAAAGAGCGGATAATCTTATGGGTCTAGGTCTGTGTGCCAGATTCAAGGTATACATCGGAAGATTTCCATGGTACGATAGGCATCGGCAAGCACATACATTAATAAAAATGCAGAAGATACTTGCTTCAGACTCCACGGGTAAAAAAAAAGCTTAATACTTAAGTGGAGTTGATGGCCATGCGATTCAGTGAATGTGATAGCTTGGGTACATGTATGTCATGCTCGCCTTCAGCAGTATCACGAATTAGCAAAATTGTGTCCTGATGCTGGTTTTGTCATAACACCGGACCACAGCGCTGAGGGTCACAGCGCTGAGGAGGGATTTTTATACAGAAGGGTCTACACGTGTTAGCTAAAACAGAGAATCAATTTTTTCAAGCCTTTTAAGTTGAGTCGTTTTCCTTGGGTTAGAGATACAAATGGATCAGAATTACGCCCTAATCTTGCCGTAGTATTACAGCTTTCATGATAACGCTATGTTTGAAGTGAACTTTTACATAAAAGGTCCTAAATATGTCTATAATTGCCTCCAGAATCGAACTTACGACGTTCTCTCGTACTGTTTTTTTCATGTTAGAGAAAACATCGAATGAATACAGAACCCAAGAATGAGTGTACTTCGTTTTGCACAAAAGCCAACTCTTCATATGATGGACACGTTCTCAAAATTAAGTTAGAATTTATTAAAAAATTATGACTTTTTACTTTTTATAGCAAATGTTTCAAAAAACCCCTGCGATGAACCATTGAAAGCTCACCATACCACACATAGCATCAGAAGCTCCCTGTTTGTACGCTGGGATCGCTGGAGTTGCGCTATGACATGTCTCACTTTGAGTTTAAATCTGGACGTTATTTTGACCGACGGCTCAAAATACGCAGGATTTGTCATCATCTAGGACATAACTGAAAACAAAAGATTCGTTTCTTAACACGATAAAAACATCCTTATAGTAATGCACCAGTTAGTCAGTGGTCATTCTTCTAACAGGCTGCTGCATTTATACATTAAACGATTCTGAGTATATATAGTACGAAGAAGTTTTATACGTCGGTAGCTCGGCATTGCTTAAACTCGATAAATGCTATCGCGAAGATCTAAAGATGCTACTAGTTAATGAGCTGGTAGAATGGTGTACGGTATACGTTAACTCTTAACCGTCCGAAAAGTTATCATGGCGTTCACTTTCTGTAAGGTACGTGAATTTGTTTCATCTGATTTTCCTAAATTGATTTTTCTAAATATTCCTAAATTGAATTTGCACCGAAGCTCGACTTACGTTTGCATACAATGTTATCTTTTTTTGCTATGAATTTCATTAAAATACAATACTCGTCGGTAGTGGTCGCAAACGGAGACTAATGACAGTATACAATCCACGTTTACGTTGATCTTATGAGCGACGGACATTGGACCTTGTCTTCAATATCTAAAATACAAATGCGAGACAAACTCGTTGCACTTTAGAAGAACATGTAACGAATTCACTTAAGCGATTGATTTACAAAAATGACTACAGAGCTGGGGGTCCATCCATCCATTATCAGAGACTGATAATTATTCGCATTTTAATTAAATACATTTTATAAACAAGCTACCCTAAAAGACTTTGATATAGTTCCGTCTTCGGGTGTACAAAACAGGGTGGCCAAAAAAGAATCCAGCGATTTTAAAAAATTCGTAAATTAAGGCAGGGTTGAAGCTAGGTTTCTAAGGAAATTATCCTTTAGTAGCCCTGTTTTTAAGCAAAAAAGTTGTAACCATTGCATTCACAAAGCTCACCGTCGAGGCAAAACGATGTATTAGGTTCCAAATGATAATGGGTCATAATTCACTATACAAACCAAAATTAAGACAACCGATGCTGTGAAACTTCGGAGTGCAATGTTCGGCTTCTTAGACTTGCTCTTCGGTAATTCAGCAAACTATACCCCTTACACGTAAGGGTCTTTCCGCCGTTCGAAACTAAACGTCTCACTTCACAGCCGTTTGACAATATATGGTCATCAAGCATTATCTTCTTTAGGTAAAAGCTGGCATAACCTTCTCTTGCAAAAAAATACTTTCTCCTAACTTTGTTGAGTGACAAACTTCTCTGTTGTACGAAATTGTTCGTGTTTTATATGAACTCATCTCTGCTCATGCTGACTAACTCTGTGTTGAGCAAGTAGAATAAAAACATGGGTGTCTTAAGTTGCAGTTTTTTTAAAATACATCAATAGCCGTAAAGAAATCGTTTGTAAATCTTCATTAATTAAAAATTTATCAATTGATACGTGACTATCGTTGTTAACAAAGCCGAAGGTTTCTCGCGAACCAAGCTCTTGCGTGTAGGAGAAAACGTTTGGACTGCACCTGCATGGTTGTATCCAAAACTTCCGATCCCTTGTCTCACCGTATCCATCCGTAGCCGCTGGTTAATCCAACACCGGTATCGGTTTGTACATTTTGAGGGGTGCAGTTCCAATATATATTCCACAAGGATCTATTCCTGTTACATTAGGGCATATTATAGGTTTTGCAGTTTATCGCTAGCTCGAGATAACGGACGACAATCTAGAACAATCAAGTGGAGACTTCATTGGCCTATTTATTTTTATATATGCTACAACGACAAAACCTAATCGACTAAATACCTGATTCCTTGCTTGAAACTCAAGGGCACTCGTATTTATCCAAATCCCTAAGACGCACAAGAGTTACCAATCTATCGTCGTTGCTGCTAAAAAACAATATTACTCAAACAGTATCACAGAGTGCCTATAGCAAAGTGTTATTTCATTGTGATAACTATATTTAATGGTATATCACTCCATATAAACGGCCATTTCTATAAGGGTCATCAGAAACTGTGTACCGTAATGGGATCGCCTATTACTGTTAAGTACAGGCTGAAGCATGGACGCGGCGAAAAGTCGAGCTACCGTCAGGCTTTGATTGTAATGTAGATGTATTTTGTTGAGATGTAGATTTGTTGAGATATTGCGTTAAGCAAAAGTAGAACAAATCTTCATATTGCTTTATTGTACTTCTCTAGTTGTTGACAAATTGACGTTTTTAGTAACTTGTGTAGGGCTTATGTATTGACAAAGACTACTTTATCAAAACGATAATAGGATAAGTACCCTTAAGGGCAGTTATGTTGGGGCAGGCCATAATCACAAGAGAGAGAGAAATGGTGGAACAATATTTAGTCGTTTGGTGTAACATTTCTATCGGTAGGTACGATATGATGCATATATCTCTTATGTAGAAGTAGCTCATAGATTGTAAAACTGTCTCTCCAGATATTAAGACTTTGCGTAGGCGTTATGAGAAGTTATGCTGATTAACTTGAAAAGGCTTTTGTCGGAAGCTTTAAGTTACATATAATAACAATTTAATTCGTAATGGATCAGGATCAGGCGGTCCAACGGCAGATATAGATGAAGCTTCTAAGCAGCACTCAAGCATGACGGAGCTCTTGATGTCCCTAAGCCGTGTTTGTAGTAAACACTTGGTTACTAGACTTAATGAGGGACCCTTTTAAAGATAGGCTTGGTTGGCGCACATCAGATTTCTCTAACTCTGTAAGCCGCTGAGTGGTACAAAATTGACAAGAAGAAATTTATGCAGATTTTTCTATATCTTGGTCATAGAAGAAGGCTATCAAATAATAATACTACTCTAAAGCTGCAAAATCAGGCTTAATAAATTCAACATCACTGATGTTTTAATAATTCCTAATATTTGATTTCTATTACAACCTTTTTCTATATATTAGCGAATTTATCTCCTCTATTCGCATAATTGATCAAAGTAGTACCTTTTGCATAATAAAATAATTCCTTGTACGAATTCTGTCGTATCATTTCAATATAAAAATTGGGCTTTGCTTGACCATATGGCAGCCCTATTAAAACGACTGCATTTTTCGCCAATTTCTATTGTCCTACGGGAAATCCTAAAATACTCTATACATATCAAATAAGTTAGTTCCAACGTGATTATTTATAGGTTTAAGCATCATTATTTTTTTTTTTTGCTCTTTTTGTAGCTAATCTCTTAAAACGGATAATCTGGCGAGAAGTTGTTTACTATATAAATAAATATTTAATATAGACCTTATTTGTTTAAATATTTGCGCTTTAAAATAGAGATTGCTTTTAAATTGCTCTAAAAAAATATTGCTCTGGGATTACTGTGTGTATTCTGCGACATTAGATCCATTTATTGTTTACATCTAATAGCATCAAAATAGATATTCTCATTGCGCCTTGACAGCTAAGTTGCAGTTTTGTTGAAGAGACATAACCCTCTAGAAGTCATAAAGGCGGCTTTTCTGCATAATAGGGCTCATCCTTACACAGCTTTAAAGATGAGAGAAGCAACTCCTTAGAAGTTGATTTGGGGTGTCTCACTGACAACCGGAGCGACGACGTGGCTCATATCATAAGCCACTTTTGCAAAAAGCAAAAAAAGCCCGTAATCTTTTTTACGAAAAAATATCTAGGTGCACAATGCGAATGACGACAGTGGGGGTCAAAGACTTATCTAGGAAGAGAGATGTCTGCCATATGAGGGACAGTGCTATCACGTGCCGGAAGGAGGTATGTATGGAAGCCGTGTGTGACTGGGCAGCCAAGCGCGCACGTCGCGGTTTCCGTGGCGATGTTCTGAAGACTCTCAATCTAAAGTCAACCGAAAGCAAAAAAGGAAAGCTGAGTTTAGAAGTTGGGCCATTTGGCTTCTTTACATTGTCATTTCACTAAATAAATAAAAAATATGGTGAACAGAAAACTGTTCTCGGAAGTTCGAAAATAGAACCGATTCAAATGTTGATCCAAAGACCAAAAATTCGATTGCGAGGGAATTTTTGAGCTGCGAGAAGACACTAAAAGACTACTGATAGTAACGGCAACCACTTCGACGGCTGAGGTTTTAACACTCTTGATGGAAATAAAGTCGAGCATTGAATCATAAATAGTGTTTTTACCCCTGCCAATATGCCCATAAAAAGGTTCATAAAACGTTCTCGCCTTTGGTAAAAGCGCAAGTATTTTATTCACAAGAGAATTAAAAAGTACGAAGCGGTTAATTGGACATGTACTTTCTTGTTATCAAGAGAAAAGGCTGTTCAACAACAAAAGGCCAGACAAAACAACGTTGCCAGATCGTTAGATCAGCTTTGCGGAAGCCTGGGAGGGAGATACCCTACGCATAGCACCTTCTTCTTCAGACCGCGTTTGACGGAAGACAACCCTTCCAGTCAGTAGCGAATGAAATTGGTAACTATTAGTTTGAAAATGGAGAGGGTCTTCAAAGCCAGCTCTTCAACCTCACAAACTTTTGGTGAGACGGGCTAAATAAATTGCCTTAGATATGAGAGGGGACGTAGAGAGAAACATAAATTTGTTGCGGTTTGATAAGGTATTCATTGGCGAAATTATAATACTGCATACATGCCAATCACAGCATTGTATCATATGCTAGTAATGTAGTGGTGTTTATCAGAATAGATCCCAAGAGAATCTAGTTTCTCCACTTATTACGATAGTTTTTCTCATACCGTACGTAAGAAATAGATCCATTTATCAATTTGCACTTGACTAAATTTCATATTAGCCTGAACGTACCATTTAGCGGTCCCAGCCAATGTGTTTTCAGATACAGTGTTAAAAGTTGCCCACTTACAAATCAGTCTTTGGAAACTCTATCTATATCGAATTGACTTGAAAGAATAAAATTCACTCGTGACATTTTATCTATGCGTTCTGTTAACCTTCATTAATAATTAATTGCCTATTTTTCCAATTATTGGGTGACAAGTATGTGCATGTCGTATAACTGACTCTCGCACAAAATACGTTTGAATTTTCGACAAAAACACGGATATTGATCTCTGCTTATAGCTCACACGTGAAAGTAGACTATGCTTTATTAAGCAGTGCGCGGAAGGACTTCTTAGCCATGAGCACTGCTAAGGCCTCCCTGTGAGTACCCCCTACCCCTTGATTGTAGCGACCACCTTGTGCCCTGTATCCGCCACCGATAGCATGACCGGCGTTATTCGAGTAGTCAAAGGTTTCCCGAAACCCGAGTGTCTGTTTATCGGAGAAAACGTTCGCGTCACCGCCAGCGAGGTTGCAGTCGAAGCCGCCAGCATTCTGAGATCCTCCAGCAGCGTGCTGTCCCCTTGCGGAGTAACCGAACGCGTTATTGAATCCAACTCCTACGGTGCCCAATTCGAGGGGTTCACCTACATCAACTCCGAGTTCTGTAACAGCATTTCCGTAAAACGCCTTTTCTTCAACGTTGATTGCATCTTCTCTAAACTCAGTGAATGGATAATCTCGAACCACCGCCGCCGCCACGACTACTATACAGCACATGGCCAACTGAACTATTACAAATGTTATTACTATTAAAAACTTATCTTTTTTCGAAATTGAAAAGTCCACCTGTTAGCAAATATTTAGATGCATAATAAGTATTAGAAAGCATTTACGATCACGGCGTTACACTGCTCGCTGTCATTTATTGATTTATGCCTAAATTTTCTAAAATAGTTTGCCGATACAGATTTTTCTGTCATAATCGTCCTTCTCACATGGCTCACTTATGGATACTTTCATTCCATCAAAGCATTGTTTTTCTTTTGTTATGTGAATTAGAAAACTAGTCTTGAAAAAAAAATACTAGAATCGGACATAAAGTGTAGCGGGTGCAGGTAACTGCTGTATACGCTATAATGGTCGCAAAGATCAACACGAAATGGCATAACTGCATATAGATTCAGTTGTTCGGGAGCGATAATGTAAAAGTGCTCGACAGCGTTGGCTTCTTGAGTTCCGGACGCCGTGGTCGTCTCGGCAAGCGAGACTGAAGCTAAATATGAAAAAACAACACAATAAAAACAAAATGTTGATGCCTTAAACGTTTATAGAACAATATATAATGCACACATAGAGCTGCGCTTGCACTTCATATCTTAGCTACATCTTTTCCGATTCGGATCGATCGTTTGAGAACGTATCAACCAAGACGCGTTTATTAGAAGATGATCCGCATCGTCACTTGCAATTTTGTGACGTATGAGAACTGTGCGATCCGATGAAGTCCGTTTTAAGCATACAGAACAAGAAGCAACAATAATCATATCTTCTATTTAAGAGAAAAGATCAATTCGATGAGTAGATGGATAGCTGAATCAGAGTGAAACTAAGTATTAGCAGCCTTATCTAGCTTCAATTCATCCAATTTCCTTTACTCAATCGTTACTCACGAAGTGTATTTTATCCTGTTACGGGCGTTTGTCATGTCTCATTTAATCAAGCCGTGTTACAATGATGTTTTTCTCTTTCAATAAACGATAAGTGGATTTTATTTTTACAAATTCTCCCTTCTGTTGGCTTTAATATTTCTGCGTTTACATGTCCGAGTAGTTAGTGCTACAATTCTGCCATTGTAATTCAATAAGCACCATTAATGATGCTGAGTATTAGTTACTAGTCTTTTTGCATATAAATAACTATTAGCACGCCGATTACAATTTTCTCTTTAGTTCGGAGCCTATCTCGCCTAACAGTGTGAACTTACTCTTCTGCGTAACTTCATCAGCACTGACTACTTCTGACTACCCTTCGCTGTCGAATGCCGCGCCACACTTCCGTGAGGCTGTTCCGTGAGGGATTCTAAATGTCTCGCCGCATAGACTCGTTCTTTTTCGGAAAATACCTGATAATAGCAACTGGCCATTATATACATTGCCAATATAAGCATCGGCTAATGCGCAAATTTAAAAAGATTTGATAAGATTTTGCTTAATATATCATAGCAACTAATTTTTCCGTTTTAGGTCCTGATATGCAGTCACCTCCTGTAGCCTACGACATTCCAGTTTCTGTTGTTGTTCCTGCTTCACTGAAGGCTCACATTATTATTCTCACATTTATAAAATGGAAATTTATTTTCAGCACTAAAGGCTATCCTTGCCTCGGTAGACGTTACACTCTGATGACAGTCAATCAGCCCATAGCCGTCAGTAGCCAAAAAGTTAGTGCAAAATTTTGCCCGACCGCATCTGCTAATGTAAATGCCATTGAAAATGTACGGCTCACTAAATAGCTCCGGACAAGTAATGCTTACTTGAATGTTCTTCATATTGACAGCCATTTTTATATACGACTCTCACACAAGTATTGCTATATTCAGCCGAGTTCTTTCACAGGATACTCAGAACAGCTGTAGTCATACACGAGTACATAGTCCTGACACGAGTTAACCGCACATTTGAGCTAAATTCATAAACAAGTCAAGCCGATATCTTCATGCAGGATATAACAAACATCAGTGATAATATTATTGACTTTATTGGATTAGTGAGTATAGTTAAAAGTGCCAGCACATCACAAATATAACCATCGAACATTCTACGAATGAACTCGTATTCAGATCTTCTTCTAGTTTTCCTAGTACACGAAAACTAGGACCCTACTCATACATAGTCCCCGGAGTTTTGAAAATCTATTGCAACCAATATCCGAAGAGTATGGTGGAGGATAGAGGGCCTCCAACCGTAATCCCTGCATCACTGCCACGGTTATTCTAAAAAGGTGCAACGTCGAGTGTTGTCGTGGAATGAGGTCGGTTTAGTCCTGGACACTTAGTGCAGAGTTTTTCATTACCAACATGCATAGCATTTGCATTACGGCTTTTGCTGCTGCCCATTTGCTTTTTGGTGCCGTCCACCGGTTCCTCTGCATGCACTCACCGATGGGGACGTCTGCGATGATTCTAGAAGACCCACTTCTCGTTAGAAGTTACAACTGAGCGCAAATTAGGTCACTGTCGTAACGTAAATGAGTAGGAAGAACACAAGAAGTGTTTTTACGTTTATTCTTGCGGCACCCACTTATCGAATTTTTTATCTAGTGAATTTGATCGCTCTGAGTAAGTGTGATGTATTTTTACATACACCACATTTGAGTGCCAGCACCTGTGCCTTTGGGGTCGATTGTTTCCACAGCTATCGATACAAGGGTCACATTTGGGTCCAAAATCTCGTTTCCAAATTTTCTTTAACCAGCGGCTCAAGGTGTTTCAGGGCAGTAAAATCCTCACGGATTATAAAGTTTACCCGGCAAGATCTCCTATGATTCCCAGGTAAATTCACCTCCGTAAACCGCTCGAGTCGTTTGATTTTCCATGGCCTGCGACGATTCGCCTGCTAAAAGTCCAAACAACGATATACGAGCAGACGAAGTCAAATTTATTTCAAGTATAAACAAGTTACAGGCAAATGTAGCAGCGTTATAAAAAAACGACATCTTAAAATATGAGATTCTTATTTATTACATTTCTAGCTATAGCTGAATACAAGCCAGTACAAGTCATTCACTTCCTATACTACCGATCCATTAACGTCAGTTCGAAATCGGATCTGAACATAGTTACGCTACTAAACGTACCCCAATGTTAAAAACATTGGGGTACGTTTAGTAGGATTTATGAAGATGATAAACACAATGCGAATTGGTTGTCAGATAAACAAAAAGAAACAAGCATAGACAGCAAAGAGGTTAGTTGTACCAATGAGTTTGCTTCGAGGTCAGTACGAGTCAGCGGCCAACAAATTGTCGCAACGAATTACTCAGGTAATCGTTGGTAAATACTAGCTTCTTCGATGAGCTCGCTTTCTAAAATGTTGAACATGCGTTCACATTGTGCTGTCAACATCTTTCGTTGACTACTGGTATTTTTTGTTATACCTGTTCTCTCGCCCGTTTCTCTGTTCGGCTGTTCTTTGGCTATTTCCTGTAGTACAGAAAAACCAAGCAAACTCCAAAAATGATAAAAATCGGATCTACTTTGAGCCTTTATCTTTCGTTCGCTAATCTCCTAGCAGGCGTCCGGGCATTTTCCTACCTTCGCGAGCTTGTCCACCCGCAGAATTGCTATCAGCATTGTTGCAACCAACTGTTTCCTTTAATGACCAGCTCACTTAGATCCTCTGTATGGCGCATCGTAGCCGCCGACCAGGCAGCTCGGCCACAGATGAGCACGTTGCTTGAAAAGGTGTGCGTCTCATATAAGCAGAGGTCACATTTGTGACATAACGTTCTTGAAGAGGTCAACGTCAGGTATACATCGCCTTGTTAGACTCCGAACGGACAAAAAAGAAATAGGTCTGCATTAATCCAGAGTTATCATTAGGTCTTCTATGAAAATATGCAACATATGTGTCATCATATGTTGTATATTTTCATACGTATGTGATGTGGCGCGAGAAGCGAAAAAATTTTCGATCCTAATAAGCAAAGCAGGCATAAATAGGGACCCCAGGAAGAATTCATAATAACGAAATCTACTTCTTTCTAGTGCGAGCGAGTAATGTTTGGGCATGCGTTGGACGTTTGGCTTCACCCACGATGACGCCAAAAAAAAGAATATACCTAGATGTCAACTCTATAGTAGTGTTCTTTGTATCTGCTTTCATAAAAGTTTGCGTATTCTATTTTCTCTATTTCATATAGTTCTCATCAAGGCCAATCCAGGTAATCTCTTTTGCAGATAGCTGCTCTTCCTAGGGAAGAGAGAAGACGGGTCAGTTTTTCTTTTCCTTCTATAACGCCACAGCGATAATATCGATAGTGCCATTTGTATGTTTGATTAGATGTTTCAGCTTGACAAGTTTCCTATGGACTATTTTTCTTAACGAAAAGTTATCTATGACGTGTATCCTATAAAGTTAAATACTGTAATAGTCGTTCAAATACATCTTTTTCACGAAGCATCGTTTGTTTGGATCTCTTTCGAGATAGAGTAGCGTACATTCAATTTTTGGGATAAGGCCTTCTGCACTGCTTGCCAGAAGCAGCATGCATATAAAATCTTCAGGCAAAAGCGCCTCCAATCTGCACCTAAAAAGTGTTGCCTAGAGAATATATGACCTTACTATTGGCGTTTCAAACTTAAGGCCGTTTGGACGCTCTAGCGGGGAACTATCTCACATTTGGAGTGTGTGAAAGCAGTTAGGAAAGATGATTAACGACGTTTGCTTCGGAAACTTTACATTGCAAAAACTGTTCCCATCGGATCTGCTGAAACGAGTAACCTACACAAAAAGTTTAGGTTGGCTGCCAAGACACTTTACACGCTCATGTCTTACAAATGTTTCAATGGAATATATGCCCAGGTATGTGAACCTCAAATCTGAAGTATACTATAACAATGTGAACTTGGCAATAATAGGTGTTAACTTCCTTAACAGAAATTGCAAGATCAGCTTTTGAGAAGAAACAAAACATTTATAGATTAAATAAATGCTTATTTACGAGGAGGATGGTAGAATATGTGAGCTTTTAAAACGGGTATGGCAGTGATGGGAAGCGATTGAAATAATTTAGTGATCATACTTTGTTTTCTTTGGGAAATTAATGTACATCTAAAACTGGTATTGTGATTAAGCTGTGGTACGGCGGAAGCCATATGAAGTTTTGAATTTGACGCCAAACCAAATAGATGTTATATGGGTTGGATCGTTGAGCGAAACTATCGTCAACTGGCGGTTGTTGGTCCAAATTTCAGCCCGATATAGATCCTTCCGAATATATTATGGATAACGAATGCAACTATATTCCAAGTGATTTTCTGTAACTGTGGAAAACATAAATGTAATTGAATTTTACTACCATATTCTTTCTTTTTCATTTAAGACGCTAAAATAAATTATTTGCAGGTCCAACTAACACTATTTACATGAAGTATCTAATTTTTTTGACGCATATTAAACTTCACTAACACTTTACAATATAATGAAGACAATATATTTTTGAAAAAAGTTCAATTTTTTTTTAGTTCTATGGGAAGAAACGACGAAATATGACCGAAGTGTTGACCGTAGGATATCATCGTTATCATTATCAAGGCATTTGTAAACGTAAGCAAAACAGATATATTTAGTAGTTAAAAAAAATCTGATTGCTTCTTAGATTGTAAGCATAAACGATTAAAAACAGTCAGCGTAGCAATATGAATAAACTAACTGGCCAAGTTTGTAATTTTATGTAGCTGCGATAGTGATTAGCATGGTAATTTTGAAACATTTATCTATTATTCGTATTATTTATCCTGTTCGTAATGTCTGGCCATGTCACACTGATAAAAATGATGATGATATACGACCATGTCGCTCGGCTACATGGCACGTCGCGTCATAACGCGATAGCAGCGGTTGGTATCGAACTTTTCGTTACTCATAGCGCGTTCTGACCGAAAGATGCCCTTTTTCCGGGTCTGTGTTATTTGTTGCGCTCTCCTTGTAATATCCAGACGAATGAACCGCCATCTTAGCATTGGATAATGCCCCGGAGGATAATCTCTGGATAGTCAGCAGACATCATACGGATCCAAACCGCACAATTAAACAAACATGAAGAGTTTTCATGCAGCCTTATTTAGTCGGATCGTCTAAATCAATACGTTTATTTTACATTGCCCCTATTAACATTTACTACAGCTCGCAATAATAACTATTTACATGCTCCATGTTGTTAGGCTACCGTTATCTCACAGCCTAACAAGCTCATAATCATTATGTAAAGACTGTTGCCTCGGCTGTCCATACGAAAGCGGTCGGTGTCTGAACCGTAGTTACGGAATCAGTCACTGAGGCCAAGCGGAGCTTGGTTTCAGTGCGGCTGTCGGCCTTACCCAGGGTTACGCAGCTAATGGGCTTGGCGGAGAAAACGCTAATGTGTTCTCGGATAAACAAATCTTCGGTGCTTTACACTGCAAAAACAATGCTTGTGAGGCCGTCGGTAAGTGCTTCGGAGCTCAAGGTGGTAACTATAATCAGGGTAGGTATTCTCGAGGGGGACTCGGGTCAGCTAATAGATTCGGGACTTCTGTCGTCGGCTAGATGTACCTTATTCTATCCAATTTCATTCATTTATAGCATATGCGATACGCGCATTGTGATATCAACAACAAACACTTGAAAAAAACGCGTATGTGACTATTGAATTCAACATTAATAAACTATATCAAAAATACAACAAGTTTGTATGCTTTTTTGGATTTTTTTCTGTCAATATTTGATCACTACCGACTGGAGCTTCAGCGTTCAATAGATATCTTCCTTTCCAACTAATAGTCTGCTTGGCGAAAAGCTTTGTTTCAGTCTGAAACCGTTTCTCAGCTTATGAGTCATCCGATTCCATGTTTTTCCTCTAGGTTTCGGGTTTTACATCCGGTATCGCTGCTGTTAAGCATTCCATAGGATGGATGGCCTCTAGCACGAAAGGAAGTATGTCCATGACCGGCTCGAACCTATACCACAACGTGTCCTTAATATTAGCAGGTAAATACGTTATCCACTCAGAGATCACGAAGACGGCATTATTTTTCCAAAGTAACGAGCTTCCACTTTAAACCCGCATTCTACGGTCTGCACAAAAAGAAACATATTGGCTTAATGAATAGGATCACTAAGCCTCTGGCTGAGGCAGTACGGTGTCATTGGTTCAATCCCCTACAACATAAACAACCTGGCACGTGTGAGTAGATAACAAAAAAAAAACATCTTATAAAATAAAAAAATTACATTTAAACTAGAAAAAAAAAAAACGCGACTCGTGATGGAACCCCACTCCGAAAAGTTAAGCCAGCCAACAAGAGGCGAATACGATTAGTTATTGTACTATACAAGCCGCTAGGAAACATCATTTATGCCGCCATCTATAAAAACGGTAATCTGCAAGGACTTATATCCAACGCTTTATTTGTGTAGGAAAAGGGACGCAATGTTTTGGTGTTGCAGCACGGTATAGCTAAGCTGTTTAAACGAGTCAAGCTACTCCACATGTTACTCCCTTTAGATTTCGGCGATCGATTGTTAAAGGAAATTAAGAACATTTAATGTAAGAATCAAAAGGAAAAGTTCAGCATTCAGAGTAATTTGCGAACCATCTAAATTTCGTTGGGTTGTCCGCGAAATACAATTCTGAGGTTCTGACGTTTATCCCCCTATTTGTGCTCGTCAAAATCCAAAGAGATGACGTAAAAATATAGCTGCAATAGCCGAAATAGCCGAAAAACACAATGACTCCTCTCTATTGCAAAAAATCCTAAACAAGGTTTTAAAATGGGTTAAGCAAAAAAAAGCACTAAGAGGGATGAGAATTTTAGGAATGCACGTGCGAGGCATATTGCCATTAAGCGTTGATTTCAGCTGATGATTGAATAAGTTAATAATCCCATCAACTTATGTTAGATACGACGCCAGTGAGAAACAGATGGTTGAGTGCATCTCCTAACCCTTTTGCCGGCCTGTTTGATACGATAAAGCCGACCACTAGAGTTTATGAAAATATTTTGCGAGCATTTATAGCCAAAAAAACATTCTAAACTACCTCATTCCACGAAGAATATCCTGTGTGCTGTACAAAAACGAATCAAGATAACATTCCTGTTTCATGTATACATGAATTTTTTCTAATGTGTTGTTTCAGGTGTGTAAATTTCTGGATTTTAAATAATAGAAGATCGAGAAGGACATTTAAAAAGACAACTAGAATATAACGAATTCAGTCTCTGTTTCTCTTTTATATATATATTTTACGCATATATTTTATTTACCTTTAGTTTATGTTTTTCAGTCATTTTAAAAGTCAGTTTTTTTACTCTCGGCTTCTTATTCGTGCGCTTTTTCTTATATTATTACAGTTTTGAATTGTAAATTACGTTTGAAATTCAGATACGGAGTATTTTATAGAATGCCCAGATCGTCAATTCTGAGAAGTACGTTCTAGTAACTTCTAGTACGTTAATTTCAAAACCCAAACATTAGACACAACTTTTGCTTTTCACACAATGCTACGAACGAGCAGACGACCACTGGGGCAAAAGAACAAGTGATAAATGATTTAATCCAATAATCTGATATGTTCAGGGTCGCATTGCATGTCATTGATTTAGAGATGAATCGAATTGTATCAAATTGAATATAAATCACAGTAACGATTGAGGCCTTCAAGGCCTACTCATCAACTGCGTCGCTGGAATGGCCTAAGCTGTTGCTTCAACTTTCTATTAAAATATCCCTTCTCGAAGAAGTACCTTAATATCGACTTCTGCCCAATCTTAACTTACTCTGCCCATTAATCATAAACTTAGTGCTACAAACTCGAGCGGATTCATAAAATCTAGAAAGGGTAGATTATCGACTAGCCTTGGAAAGAATTTCAGCAGACCTGTTCGTCTTTGTGCTACAAAATATGTCCCCGAAACCCAGTATTTGTCGTATGTTCGGCAATGCTTGAAGTATTATTTTGTTTGATTTTGGTAATTACAAATGATGTGCCTTAACCTGTAATTTTTTTGTCCGTCAGTATCATTTAAACATGAATTTTTCGTTTAGACTTTTTAGTATAATGCTTCTCTGTTCATCCATGTTGTCTTGTTTAAGTAAAAGGCCACTAAAAACGGTAGTGTCATGAGCTTTGATATTTGAGTTATTTAGCTTGGCGAACCTGAAGCTTGTTAAGCACAGGCTGAAAACAAGCTCATTAATTACCAACAGTGAATGTAGGTCTCTTCATAGAAATAATATTCGCATAAAAACAAATGTTCAGCTTGTGGATTCTACTACCTAGTGCGTGACGCAGAGGCGTCATGAGTGAGAAAGCTCGGATCTGTTCCTCTGGGCTGTGCAGACAAATAAAAATTGCATCACCTCAAAATATCTAGTATTTTATATTTTACTTAATCAGATTAACGTGTCAATACAAGTGTGACAATACGAGTAGAGCAGCTATCACCGGACCTAGTTTGATGGAGGCGGTAGTGAATTGACGCTGTTAAGTGACCCATGGCTACCCGGTTTCGGTCTTATTTTCTGAGCGAAATTTGTACGAACTATTACATTTTTTCTAAGAGGTTAGAGGAAAATACGTATTTTAACGAAGACTTTAACGTGCAGCGTGTTAATTGGGTCAGGACAATTTTGTAGTTTGGTGGTTAGGAGGAGATAGTTTGGGGCCAAACCCACATGTTCAATTGACAACAGAATCTAAGAAATTTTATTTGGGGAAAATGTAAGAAACACATATCGAATAAGCGTTCTGTCTCACCTGGCATATTTTTTAAAGGTACCGAATACAAGGCAAAATCTTGTGATCTGGACAAAATGATTAATGAAAACAGTGCACAAAGCTGATATATAAGTAGCACTGGCTACGCACTCGTCTAGCGTAGCATTTTTTGAGGTTAGCTTTCTACCCTTCACTAGATTTCCTACAGTTTTTAGGGCGGATCTGCTTTATTCAGTTTCTATCGTAATAAAATTATAACACTAAACAGTCCTTTAACATCTAGAAAAAAAACTCCTGAATAATCGCAAATTAAGCTCCTTTGGTGAGTAAGCATTTAGTACCAGCAAGAGGCATCATGTTTGAATTATATATAAGTCTGGAACATGCATTGCGCCTCCTGGAGTATAAGACGCAACTATCGATTGATATTTACGGTCCCCATACCGAAATATCGTGTTGAGCTTCGATCCTTCTCTCAGAAGAGCTCATGGCAGATTGCAGTCAGCTTTGTCCCTAGTTTTGCAAAAGGACGAAGTTAACATAACAATATAGAAAATATCTGCAGACAAAATCTGTGAAACAAACTTCATTCAATTTAGATGTTGGCATACATTTTGAAAAGCATGGTTCTAAAAATCAGGTTTCAAAAGAAAATACCTATCAGCTCTTGCGAAAACAGATCACTTGCGGATAACGCCGTTGAAAAAATTCAATGCGCACTAATTGAGACCCGGTTGCTAGCCTGGTTGCTCCCAACTGCTTTTCGCTTTAAATAACGTTTCATCAATCCAACTAAAAATATATATGGATTATATAGTTTGCCCTAATACCGATACAAGCTAGATATTTCTAACAAACGTGAAAATTAAACTCATTGAGGATCGCAATGCTGTTGCCTATCTGGTGCGCGTGTATCGTTGCAACATGATGATGCAATATATCTAAAACCCAACTAATGCTTAACTATGTTGGCTGTTGGCCTGTTGATCTATATGAGGCGAGCAAGAGCAGGGCTTTGTATGGGCAACGTATGATCATGTAGACCACTTACGGCAGACCGCCTGGCGGCGCCGATAATCATATCTTTCGATCCATCTTACTGCTACAATGGTATTGCGTCCGTTGGTTTGCGCACTGTTTTTTTGAGCTCTTTAAGAGCTTCCGACTTGTGGCTTTTAGAGCGTCAAAATATCGACGAAATATATGACAGTACAAGATTATACAGTGGATACGAGCTCGTTTAATTGTTTAGGTAAGTTTATGTACATTGTTGTTGCTTACACACGGTAACGGTAACGAACAGATTTGTGGTCGCACGTTTACAGTTGACTAAAAAGTAGTAGTCATTGGAGCTCGGCCACAGAAAACAAAGGAAAAACTATAAAAAGCAACATTGTAACAGATTGTATTCATTCAACGTTCATTCATGCTGCATCATGCATTCTACAGGGCCCATTGACTGGTCAATATGCGTGACTATAGCGTGTTCCTTTAACTGTTTTAATACCTCTCCCATATATAGTACTTATGGAAGTGGCTATTCGCTTGATTTCGTAAGTTAGATTTACGTTGCTGGAAAATATTCAACCACGACGATTGCTTTGGTATAAGTGTTCTTGCTTTTCTTAGAACATTTGTGACCCAGCTGTAAAAACAGGACGGCGCTTTCGTGCCATTTAATTAAGTAAAGGATCGATCCTATTTTGGTAGTTTGCGAACACGTTGACTACCTTCCATTAATGATCTGCACGATGCCTAGGCCAATACGCTGTACATATGTAAGGTTGTCGGCACGGCAGTTGGGACTGTTGAATTTCCAGCAGCAAAGAGGATGGATTACGGCAGGTGGCACAGAACAAAAAGCATTTTATCGGATTATACAATGCATGTATCATTAAATGGATATGTTTGTCAATTGCAACATTCAAGGCAGAGGGCTTTATCTATAAGTGTACTTTAGCCGTACTTCAACAATAGAAATCCACAAGTTACCTGCGTACTCTGAGTCTTATTTCAATGGGTACACAATTAGAAAAAATTAATCTTTAACTTACTCTTTGATGCTAGTATTTTTACAACTAACTTTTGTAGCGCAAAAAGTCGTGAAATATAATATTGTGGCATGTTCGTGTCAATCAGAAACTTTTATCATTCCAAAAACTTACGTCGCGGCTGCGCAGAAACGCATCGGAAGACCGATCCATGTTGAAAATGTTGTTGTTCCTTCTTCGTCGTGATGCTTCGTCGTACTGATAGCGTACCGCAGGCTGTCATCAGCATAGACGCCAACTGTGACGATCCGTTGCGCCGCAGTCGTGTCTCGCTTTTGTCTCCCGTGTTCTGCTAATTGTGCAGAAAAAAATATGTTTATGTTGGTAAATTCAACCCCTCAGTTCTACTTAAAAGAAACTCGAATTCGCTAGACGCTTAGCAGACATATATGAGTCTACAAAACTAGTGCATTAGTATGCAAGTCTATCCTGACTCTATGCCTCGCGTAACTGCTAGCATCAGAATATTGGGGCCCAACAGAATGTCAAACCAAGACCTGTGACCGTCCTTCGTTTTACAGATTTGTCTCGCAGGTCTAAGTCCAGCCTGATGCATTTTAGTATGAAATTCGCCAATTAAACTGTGCCTATGCGGGTGTGCTAATAATTGCATTACTGCCACTGGATCTTGCTTGCTAAAGGTGTTGGTGCAGGAGACAGATCTAGTCGAATGACGATTTGTAAAAAAATGTAAATTCAAAGTATTCTATACAGATGTACGCCTGATACATGATCGCGAGCCTTCGTTTCGAAGCTGTAGGACCAGGCTGAACAAAGCACAAGCGTATCGAGGCTCAACTGATGACTGTGTACTTCTGGTGTCGACTTCGTTTCCTCCGCTTTCTGCCTGAGCAGATGCCCCAGTGCTGGAAGAATTTCGAGATCTGCGAACCCTGAATGATTACAACCTAAATTTGCCTAACAGCTTAGCAGCTATTTGGTAAAAATCAAGCCGTCTAAATGAACCGGAGCAGGTTCATTTAGGCGTGCAATTTTGCTTCAATGGAGACGAGAGACCCAAGCCCTCTTGAGGGGATGCATTTTGTGTGCGTCAGACTTATATAACCGTGTCTTGATTTCGACGAAATGTAGCTACTTTAGTTACTGTCTAAGCTACGCAAAAAATAGGTAAAAAAAACTTTTAATCTAAATGACATAATGTTAATACATCTGTGTTTAGATAGTAGTTTTGTATTTACAATTTTTCTCATGTTATTATACACATTTATCTGGAACAGATGTTTATCGGAATGATGATTGCTAACGTAATTTGAGTCCGTTGAGTCTGCGTTATCTTATAAGGTTTCGTGTCACTACAGTGTCCACTATTTCTAGCAAACAATCAGGTTACTCGGAAAGCAATGAACGAACCATGGGACAGCCCGGTAAAGTAAACATCAGATATTACTCTGTTGTACACTGTCCGGTATATTCTACTTACTACGATTTCGCTATTGTATCTAATATGGCAACTGTGTCGCACGATAATGCAATATCAGAAATCATTGAAGAAGCACGTGAGATGATTGCGTTTATTTAACTGCGGTAAACACAACGGCGTCAAGACGAATCGTCAATCGGTCTACACACAGCCAGCCAGCCAGCCAGTCAGTCAGTCAGTCAGCCAGCCAGCCAGGCAGGCAGGCAGGCAGACAACAGGCGAATTGGCGTCCCTCCTTCTAATTGGTAATTTTGTCGTGTTTTTTCTTCTTTATATGGCCTTTTTCCGCCCGCACCCTAATCTCGAATTGACAAAATGAATGAAAAACAATATCACCGATAATACACAACTTGCGACAATGAAACAACTTCTGTTCTTACGAAATCGGATTTGCTACCAATACATTGTTGTGTATAGGTACCGAATAGTGGAAAATCGGGCGGTAAGGGAAGGTCTTCAAAGTGAAAGCTAGTGAACTGCTGGGTAAGGAGTGCTACTTAGGTATGTTCCCAGCGAGCTGATGTCTATCAAAGAAACGATCAGATGAACCCATAGATATCATATGACGAACGATAATGATGGTGAAACCGGCATGTATAGGTAGAGTATGCGTTTGGGACATGATAATATGAGTCTGGCAAAAACAAGTACTATTTACTTGAGTTGAATATAAGGAGCTTATTTGGGCGTGTGCCTCTTTAGCAATTAAGTATTCATGCAATAGTACACTAAGTTGAGGATTTTATAGAAGACAAGAGCACTTTGTTTAGCCTTGGTAGTGGGCCTCTTCACACCGTACGGACGCAGTTTCAGCTGTAAAGCTCGAAAGCGGTGAAGTGTCCCTCTTTTCCGTAATAATTATTCACTCATATTCATTTACAGGAGTTGATTAGAAAATAAGTGTAAGATCAAACTATGACGGATACGACTGAGCCATATTTACTATAACAGGTCGTCTGCCAGTAAAAGCACTTTTGATAAAATGCGTCTAACAAATGACGTCAAGGGTCTTTCACAGTGAGAGGATCGTTAAGCCACACTCTCCAATAGAACAGCTATAGTTTGAAAGGCACAATCAAGGTACGTACACGAATGCATGGATATTTTTGCGAGCATATTTATAATATATCGCTCGCGTACATATGGACGCGTTTGCTGTAAAAGAGTTTCTCAAAGATGATAGTATTTCGCATTATATTACTATTTATCATAACAGGCGTTTTCCTTGCTCGTATATATACTTTATAATTGAAGTAAAATGACGCTCATTTTGTGCACAGTAGGTAAAGGGCAACGATATGCCAGTGCTGGTCGTACTAACGAAGTCATCAGATAAACCCTTCGAGCGTTAGAAGAGCAGAAGATGAACGCATATATTGTGTTTCAGTGGAGCTACGACAGTTCACTACCGTACGTGGATGAAAATTGATAGCTTGAATAATTCTATCAAATCGCACCGTAAAGCAGAACGGTCCTCGCGTAATTAGCTGATCGCAGGATATGAATAAATGCAGCTTTTTTTTTTTTTTTTTTTAATAGAAACAAATACAGGCGTATAAACTAGTTTTTTGTACGTATATACTATTCAAAAACTTATATAAGTTTTGTTAATATTCATGAATAAAAAATTATCAGACAGTCAAAAAAACTTCGATAGCTATGACTAGTTGAGCAGACCTTGGGCTGTGCAAAATGTTTGTCTTTTTTTTGCACACCAGCTTTAGATCTCTTAGAATATTAGATAGATAGAATAGATACGCACTTACGGTTTCATAGCCTTTCAGAATGGTTGTTGACAAGGCCTGGTATGTTTTTAGGCTTACCAATCTTAACGTAAACTTTCGAGTATACCTGCCCTTTTTCCTGTGTATTCCAGTCGTAGTGCTTCTAGTACTAACTCAAGGTAAAGGACTAAATTTGTGAACAAAAAAAATAGTTATCATGGTGACTCTTCTCGTAAATAACTGTGTAAGTTCCCAGCGGAAAACAAGGAATAAGAGGCCTCCCTTTCTCCAACTTAGGCTTCGAACTTTATTTCTACGACGGCCAAGCTTCGTACGAATCGTTCTTCTAACTCTATCGTTCCTCTAGCGAAATCTCGGATTTCTACAAGCGGCGCACGTAACTATAATTCACTTCAATTTAATAATTTAACAGAACATAGCCATATATATTTCGGATGAACTTCGGGAGGCGACCCGAGGGAAAGTGGCAAATATAGGCTATTATATTTACAAAGTATAACATTTTAGTAAACCGAACCCTGAAATGAGCAAGATTAAGACGATCACTTCTGATAGCTGCGTTGTAGACCGTAGGTACATATTATTGTATACCCTAAAAAGAATTGACTATACATAGATGTAATGCCATAACGTTTACCAATCTCCAAAAGACACCCCAAGCAATATTAACTGTAGCATTTATCTACCTCTGAAATATATATAGAATCGCTTTCATTGTTTCTACAGAGAGTTTTACAAAAAGTCTGTTTCTTCAGCAAAAGAACCTTTATAGAACTATTTTTCACATTGCGACTCCTTAAATCACTCTCCGACTGCTTTCTTTCAATGGTGCGACAATGTAACCGAAGCTGTTTGTGACCCTGCAGAGAACTTGCAGAGTTACCTGCACGTTTCGGCCACCTTTTATATCATTGGCTGAAGGTTTCCAGTTGTCTTTCTTAGTTGGTTGGAAGTTGTTAGGCCGATTTAAAGAGGATTATTTTGAAGCATAGTTTCAAGCCGGATGTTGTATACTGGCATTATTCCCAATTATTTTTGTTCTAATGATCTTATTAATTGAAAAATACTCCTGGTCAGACAATAGTTTTCAACTACGAGCCTTGTAGACAACCAGTTGATTCTATGATCCCTTTTAATTTAAACAGCTTGGAAAATTTATTTAAACTTTTGTCCCATGACAGTATCTGTGTACCGCAATTTTCCCTTATCTCCCTGCTATTATAACAATGCTTTGTATACAAAACAGGTATCAATAAAGCGTGATTATTTTTTCATAAGTAACACTAACTATATTGACTATAACGGTATAAGCTGTGAACCACGTGCACTCGCCTGTTAAAAGTAGCAAAGTTTTTGCCACGTATACGTACACCGGCTATTTCGATTTGTTTCGCTTTCCGACTGTGTAGTGTACTGATCACAAAGATGCCGGTTCAGGCCCCGCCAACAACATGTTCTACACGACAAGTGTGATTAAATAAAGGACTAACATTCTGTGGATACCCGCATCTCTTAAGCACAATGCAGGCGGCTTCCTCTTACCGGAATGAGGATGGTTAAAGTCTACAATGATGTGCAGTCACAAGTAATGAGAGCTATGATGCCTACTCCACGGTTCTTTGGGACGCTGTTATTTTTTAGCGTCGACATAATACGGATGAAAGGCCGACTCGGCTTACACCTACACGCAAATTCGCTGCGGACAATTCCGGCATTGACGTGAAAATACCAGTTGTTTAGTAGGCCCAACAAAAAGTTGACTCGCACAGATCCTACCGTTCGTATTTAAGAAAATAGAATAGTGAATATCGCAGGCAAAAATCGTATACACAATGATAATCGATATTAGGAGAAAAACAAATGAGGCCAGCTAATACCATCTATAGGGTTCAGATTAAAACGCATTGCATCAGTCACGAGAACAGCCGATCTGAATGTTAGCTATGTTTTCAGTTGTCTGGCAACGGACTATTTCAGGCCAGCATCTTGTATCTGTAAGTTCAGTACGTCTTCCTATGGACATCCCCTTCAATGGAAAATACTTTATAATAGCCTAATAAATATTTTAGTTTGGCATGGCAGAGCATACATAGCGTATACGTATGCTAAAATTTTTAATCTAGAGGTATAAAGAAGCTTCTCTTCATTCGTTTGTCATTATCTTATGTATGGGCCAATGAGTAATATATAGCATTCATCTATATAATCCTATAAGGTAAAGGTTTTTTAAAAAATCTCACGCAATATAACAAGTGTCCTTACAGATGACAATTCATCACCTCCACATTTATTTCGCAAATAGTACTTGCTGTGCGTTTTATCTTGGTTAGTTGATGGATAGAATCTCTCTTCCTTTCATATTACAGTAACCTAGATATGCAGCCTTTCAACCCGGTACGTTAACCCAAGATAGCGACGGACTTGTAGAGAGTACTTGCTCAACTACTGACCATTTTCCGGCTATTTTTAGGGCACCGTATTTATGCTTCTTACTGAAACTGTCTCCTTTGTTTCTTAGTTCTATTGTGTTTGCTACCGTTGGTAAATTAATATCGGCGATCTGAATTAGAGCTTCGGTCCTCACCTTTGACGGGTGAGCCAAATCTACTGGCTGTTTGCGGTTAATAGCTCTTCGCTGTCCTCTAGAACCGATGACGATTTTATAGGCTTCCGTCGCTCTTTTCCTTATTCCTGATTCTCCTTCAGTTGAGAACATGTAACTAGAGGGCGATAGTTGTTATATAAATTACAAAGAAGTTTATAAGGTTTTGTGCCTTTTCTCTCTGTACTAAAGGTCCCTAATGGACGCTCTCACAAGGTGTTACGCCGACGCCACTTTCATCGTCGTCCCATCGGTCGCAAACGTATAGAGCTGCTGCGTTTATCGCTGGCAACGCGCTCCGTCCGCCTACGAATTGCATAGCGCTATTATCGTCACGTCAATCACCACCATTTCGGCAGCGTCACTGCATTGCTACTGTCTACAGTGAGACAAATCGTGTAAGAGAAGCAAGTCACAATCCGCCTTAATTCCGTCTGTGCTACCACCATATGTCTTCCGCCGCGCTCCAGCCCCGTCTGATGTCTCCGTCGCTAGTGGCAAGAGCAGTCTGTTATAACAACCGCTGTCAGCATCAGCGCCTCTGCCGCGCCGTCGCTGCCTGAAGGAGAAAAACAAAATTGCCGCAAGGATCGCAGCCGCCTTAAACGAACGATGTCTTGACGTCGACAACAGTAACAGTAGCGTTTTTGACATTCATCACCCTCCTCACTGTTGTTGACCGTCCTCAACGGTTCGTTGATGCACAGCCGAAATGAAATTGCGACGTGCAGTCTCGCAAGACGGAAAGCCACAGCCTTCCACCAGGAAAGGACTGCACACGTATTTACTTAGATGCACGAGTGCATACAGCCCTTGTTCCCCAAGTGCGCTCGCTCTACCAAAAATTACTCATAATAAAGATGATCTATTTATTTCTATGTATGAGCATATGAAACGGACTGTTTCGTTTGGTTCGAACTACCGCTTTGGGAAAACAGCTTTCGTCTTCCGTCAGTGTACTCATTCAGCTCTTAAATGAGCCTATAACAAACCTAGAAATGTTCGCTCATATCTGTCTCAGTAGCTGTGAAACAGCAATGGCCTACCTTTCTGTCTCCTATAGTTCGAACTGCACGGACTCTGCAAACGACATACCTATCTGTGAACTCCGTAGAGGTTAATCTTTTTTTACCACTCATGCTGCGTAGTAAGCATTTCGGTAGCAAGATGCTCGAGTGGTTACATATAATCCACACATTTGCAGAGTAAAAGCAAATTAGAATAGTATCATAATCGTTCTGCTTTCAACTGCGTTTGCCATGAACGGATACCAGGGGTTCAATCAAAAGCCCTGAAACGCAACTCCCTCTTGTCTGCAGTTTATCCAGATGTTTGTAGCGTACTGTTCGGCATAACTTGTTACCAATTTTATTTAGTTCAGTTTTTAAGGGTTATTTTATTGCACCTATTAATTTTTTTGTACATGAAACTATTCCATGCCCTTTTTGAGCCCCTTACTTCATCTGTTCGCTACTTCAAATGGCCACAAGTATGATACGCCCCATTAACTAAGCATTACGAATTGTTCAATGCAATACAGAAATTTGTTTGACCATCTAAATATATTTGTTTACTTTCTCATATAATCTAATACATCCCGCCAAACAATGATCTAATTCACGAAACACGCCTGTATGCACTTGCCTCGAATTCTTCTATGAAATGGCTGTTTAAATATGGGGAACAAAAAAAAACGTTTGTCCATTACCCAGTTCTAAGTCGGCGGCAGTTATGGAATTAAAATCACTTGTAATAAAGTAGTGTTCTTCATTAAGATGTTTCAAGGCTACCAAACATTTCCAGGCCTGCAGCTCGTCTATGTCGAACAGAATCGCAAGCATCACCAAACCCCGGAAAGTTGTTTCCAACGCGCGATTTCCCATTATCGGGTCGTTGAGTTTGTTGGTGTTTTGTCAGATGGAAATATTGAGATTCGATACCTCTCTTCGTGATGTTCTTTAGAGGATTTGCATGCTTGTCTTTTGGATGAAGTCGAGTTTCTGTCGGCATCCCGTAAGACATTTCGTTGCTTGGCAACAAACTTTCAAATATTTTTTTGTTCGCGATTGGCCTGTGTTAAGAAGACATGAACGTGAACATAACTCGTCGAATTAGCGTACTTTCACAGTACTTCCACAAATTGTTCCTCCGTACAGAGTTGGTCAAAACCGATGTTTATTGAAGCGTGTTTATATAACAGCACCTTTTCGTAAATCTATGTCATTATTATTATTATATTGTCCCTTTTGTGTGTAGTCAAGGGAACGCTCCAAGAGCTGGATCCTCAATCGAACACCAACCCAAGCGAACATGGCAACCCATCGACACCGGAGTGCAGGCTACCTTACAGATGACATGGAGGTTGCAAATACGCAGGAGGAGATAAAAATTGTGATATTCTAGAATGATACTTTTCCAATAAGTGAATAGCCGGCACAGGTCCTCATTAGTACAGGTTAATCAGAAGGAAAGATCCTGACCGATAATCCATTAATGATTCTCTTTGTCAAGGGTGACTAGCGGGAGGATTAGGCTATATGAAACAATATGAGCAACCGGTAACGGTTATAAGGGAGACACAGTAAAAATAGTTGGAAAACTAATCATAAACACTATTAGCGAGTCGGATGAAAAGGATGAAGTTATTGTACTACGCCGTAGCTCTTGCGCGGCTTCCTGGAGCTACACAGACCCGAGAGGACGGCACCGTTATCAAAAACGCTATGAATTACATCGAGTAGTCGGAGAATTGCGTTTACTTTGTGATATAACGAACAAGAGTAACTAGAGTTACTCACCAAAGTTTACCGAGCTTGTGGATCGATCGATGAATCTGTGTCGCTCTATGATAATAGGCCTGGGCAGAAAAACTACAACTCGATGTCTAACGATATCGCTCTTAAACGAGTCAACGCTAAACACCTCCTTTGCGGACATGATAAAGAAGTCGACACACGGAGAAGATATAAATCATTGTCATTGTCGCAAAGGGTAAAAGGCTTAGAGACGTGAATATAAAGACCCTTGTAAAAAAAAGGTAAACGCTGTGGCTTCCCTCGATTTCATTGAAGCTTTGGAAACCCAAGACGGTCTCTTAGCGTCTCTGGGAGCCTTTAATCGTTAGCGGTTGCTAATAAAGGATCTAACAAGGTGCTGATATAGGAGAAACAGAAAATTTTCTAACCTTCTGTTCCAATGTCAAAGGTAAATACATGCTCAGTAAGCCAGCTAGGGAAGCTACGGGTCGACTGCCCAAATCAGTTACGTCCAAGCTATTTTGCTTAGTCCTCAGCAAGGGTAAAGTTTTCGTTGGTTGGATAATGCATTCAGTAATATAGCGAATTGCAGCCCCGTAGTATTACCGCTGCTAGAAAATGGAGCATATTTGAACAAGAAAAGATGTAATCAGTGTTAGGCGTTAGGGCACATCCTGCCACAGCTGTGACGAAAGTCAACACACGGCCAATTTGACGAACTGTCCTAACTATAAAGCAAATTACTGCAAAGGAATACCAAACGGAAGGGCGTTCGAAAGACGAGTTTCAGCATCCAGCAACAGAGCTGAATCATTTGATGAAGGCCCTCGTCTGTCGGTCACAGGAAATAAAACGGTAATACCTAAGAAGAAAGTTTTTAATCTAGTAACCTAAACGCAAAGGAGGGAACAGCCCGTAAATGGAAGGTTAATAGCAACAGCGAAGACACCTTTCCCAGAAAATGGGAAAGAGAACCCAAAATCCGATCAATAAGAGTCAGAGTAACTCAACTGCAACCGCAACAATCAGACGCATTATTAAACACGAAAGAAAATGTTTAATCTATTTCTCTGGAAATTAAAGAAAAATCTAGTTATGAATAAATCAAGATGGGGTAGAGAAAAAGGTAGTATGATCCTGATAGTCTAGCGATAAACAAAGAAAAGAAAAGATAAACGATTTCACCTTGGCGGAAATCAGAAAGAATGCTCAGTAGAGGAATTCTATTAGCTGCTCAAAAACGCCACTGAATTGTATAAAGACACTAATGACATTTTTATGGTTATAGCCGAAAATTTTTATGATTATCCACGGATGTGAAGGTCCTTTGGACGGAATGACTGAAAAGGACGACATTGATAAAACGGATAACAGTCAGTGATCTAGTTATACCTAATATAGGCATAACTTTAACTTTTCAACTAAGTCATCTTTGGCACATCTAATTCTCTAAGGCACAGACTGCGGAAGCCTTGTAGAAACTCTTAGACGGGGAGGAAAGTTTCAGCGATCGCCATTATATAGAGAAGTTTCTTTCTGCCTTGAACGGTTCTGAAGTGTTTATGCAGAGAAGCGACGACAGCCTGCATCAAAGGGTGGGCAGAAAAAAAGCCTCAAAACGTAAAGGGCCTGCAGTTACTACTGAAAGGAGTTTATCGCAGAGTCACAATTCAGAATAGAGAGATATTATGAGCACCAAAATGCTGGTGGAATGAAAAGATTGCCGAAATCCACAGAAACTGGGGCAGGTAAAGAAGAAAATGGAAGCGGGAACAAGCACCAGTCAACGAGCGAGGGCAACTATAACTGATTACAGGCGCAAAAATATAATTTAGGCGGAACATTCAGACCAGCGAAACCAAAAGTCTATTTAAAAAGAAGGATCTTTTTAAAAAATAGAAGATGATCTATGGAGTACCTTGTACGGGACTATCGGGGGCAAAACGAAGAAGACGAAGAAAGTAAACCCAACAAAAATTATAGAATTAAGACGACAAAGAACTCTTTTCCCATTTCACCCAGTTTATAATCAGTCAGAGTTTGCATAAGAGAAATCCTTGCTCTCACGGCAGAAATGTTTTAATTACAAGGGAATGGCAAAACGGAAGACAGGAGAAGGCTCTCGATGATGACGGTAGTTAGGAAAGCAACAGTAGTTATAAAAATACTATTTGCAGTGCTCTTAACAATTTTCAGAACAGGCGATTTTTTTTCTAGCCTGGAAACGTAAAGAGGTGGCTCTCGTTGCAATAGATAGAGAATCGCATCGCCTTACCTGTCTATCTAAAGGATAGAAGCTATAACTAAATGGACCCGCAGAATACTCGCAAAGAGCGATAGCCAGTTGTCTGACGCCCGATATTTTTTCATAAAGAACAGGTTGAATCCTAAGCAGGTTGATAGAGTTTTAAGAGAAGGTGAAGATATTATGCAGAACAAATCCAGAGACGCTTTTATGGTAATCGATGCTTGGTGCCCTTGTACAGAATAGCTCATGCGACGGAATGCTCCGCCTAAAAGACTTGCTTCTTAAAGTTGATCTGATAGTGTAACCGAAGACAGGATAAACTGCAAGGACGAATCAGGAGATAGCATACTGCATGAGGGAGTGAGAACTTAACCTCAATCCTAGTAAATCAAAGACTATCTTACTTATCGAGAAAAGTCAAATGCCCAGACATACATATTATATACATATTATAACCTCCAGAAAAGGGGTAAAAATTATTAAACATGCTTGATACTTCAGTCAAGGCCTACAGCGTACGGGGTATCTAGGACAGCTAACCGCTAAAGCGACAAAAGTCGCGGCAGAAATCGGACAAATATGCTAGGTATATACGAATAGCGAAGAAATAAAAGAAAGTTACTTATGTCAGTAGCTGACTCAATTATTCTATTTGGAGCTGCGATTGGGCCGAGGCACAAGACAGCACTCGCTACAAAAACAAAAACGTCCTTGAGCGACATACAAAGACCTTCCACCCTAAAGGTAGTACAAGCCTATTGACCATATATAGTGTCCTTGACATTATGGAGTGGCTA